GACTTGTCATGTAGAGGTACAAGATCCCAACAATGAATGTAACTGTACTGTATCCCTAAAATGTACCAATAAACTCAATTAAAGCTGAAAAAAAAATAAAAAATAAAAAATAAATTAAAAAAATAAAAAATAAGACACATGACATTAATTCCCATTAAAATACTCCCCCTTGCTTCAAATATACTTAGCTCTTCATTCTTCCCACTTTCTGAAGCAGTTCTAAAAGTCCTTTTTCACTGTACTGTCATAGCTGCCTTGACATCCTGAAATGATTCAAAATATTTACCTTCATGGTTATTTGGACTTTGGGGAAGAGCCAGAAATCACATTGTGCCAGATCCAGTGAATAAGGTAGTGGGGACACTATAATGTCTTCATGAACCTGCTCTCCACTGGATGACACTTGGTAGCAGCACTACTCTGATTATACCCAGTGAAGACACTCAGGAAAGAGGACTTGCAGAACTGCTTCAAAAAGTGGCAAGAACAATGGGGTGAGTGTAAATGAAGCAAGGGAGGGGGTATCCCAAGAAGAATTAATGGCAATGTGTCCTTTACTACAATAAATATTTAAAAACGTAAACATTTGCCATATATTTTGATATACCTCATAAATACAGAACATTACTCTTTATCACTTTTTGTTTTTTCCAACTCGTTTTTTGTTTTAATTTTTAGTGTTGTCTTAGTCTTTTTTTTTGGGGGGGTGCCCTTCTATAACAATACCTGAGACTAGATAATTTATACATAATAGGAATGGACTACTCACAGTTCCAGAAGCTGCGAAGTCTAACGATAAGGCACCAGCATAACAAGTGTCTGCATGAGGCTGCTCTATGCTTCCAAGGTACTGCCCTATGCCCTACGTGCTGCATATTCACTGGCAGAAGGGGCAAGAAAGAGCCCACTCATGAAAGCCCTTACATCATGACACTAATCCTTTCATGAAGGTGGAGCCCTCATGGTCTAACCGGCCTACTTCCTGGTACTGTTACAATGGCCATTAAATTTCAACACAAGCTTTGGAGGGGACAAATATTAAATCACAGCAGGTGTTGATAATCGTCATTCAAGCAAGCAGTCAACTGAGGCACTACAATATGCCAGGTAATGTGTTTGCTTAGGCTTCTTTTCTGTGAAAAGAAAATTTAACCTTTTCTCTTTAGAAGCTCCTCAGGAGGCTGAGAAAATTGCTGCAAGATCAAAGGCAGCCTGGGCGAGTTCAAGGCCAGCTTGAACTACCATCTCAAAAACAAACAAACAAAAAAGAATAAACAACAACAAAAAATCATGTTGTGGCTAAATTATATTCCTAAGCCAGATAACCTTAGAATGTGACTGCATTTGCAGACAAGGCCTATAAAAAATGACGAAATTAAAATTAAATGTTTGGGTGGGCCCCAATACAATTTGACAGGTGAATGGATCAGAAGAAATGTGGGTACACAGATGGCAGGCCACAGAAGGGCAGAACAAGATGGCAGCCATCTCTAGGTCAGACAAAGGTGTGAAGAGAAACTGAGGTTGCCGGGGCCTCAATCTCAGACTTCCAACCTCCAGAACTGTGAGAAATAAATAGCTGTTACTTACCAATACAAGGGATTATATCAATTAAAGCTTTATATTTAAAAAAAATTAGAGAACTGTACCCCTTTTAATAAAAGAACTACTACATTCTGCACATTTTACAAATCTGTAAATGCCTACAGCTGTACCATCCATTGCACGGATAATACTGTCCATCTGTGCCTTCTCTTTCCTTTTGCAAAATCTTGAACTTTGTCTTTCCTACTAAACTTTCTGAAGACTAAGTTTCCCCCTTGTATCCAGTTTTGTAATATCTATGTCTAACTCTAGAAATAACAACTACCATAAGAATACCTCAGTAAACGGATTTAACAGTGATTTACATATAAACAGAGAAAGTCAAAGGGCTCGGGATATAGCTCAGTGGCTTGCCTTGTATGTATGAAGCCCTGGTTACAATTCTCAGTAGTACAGAAGAAGGAGGGAGAGAAGGAGAGAGGAAGGGGCAGAGATAGGAAGGAGAGGGAGAATAGGAAAAAGAGGACGGCGGGGGGGCCAAGGTATTAACCCAACCTTTCCAGGAAATATCCTTGGATCCCCACGCTTACTGAAAATCCTTGTATGCTTGCTACAGACTTGCTCCCCCATTTGACACCCATTTAATAAATATTACCTGGGTGACTGTACTCTTGATCGGTTGGTCACTGTTTTGCCCCACCTCATGCCCACCTTTTCCACTGGGTCTTATACTTTAGTCCCATTTTGTACCAGCCTCACCACATGACAATGCTGTATAAAACACCTTTGAGAAGTGGGGTGGGCGGGCAATCCACTTTCCAGTCCCTCTTCTGTCTCTTTTAGACAGAAGCTATCTTTCTCTCAATAAATATTTCTTACCCTTTAAAGAAAAAAAAAAAGGAGGAAAGAAAGAAAAGAAAAGTAGGCAAGAATAAATAACGCTGAAAAATTATGCAGGGGTAGAAGAGCACAAGACTTATTCTAATGGCTGGGCAAACCTAAAAAGCCACAATAATTAAATCTGTGATACGATACAGAGGAACAAAAAGGTAAAAAGAGTAAAAGAATAGAGAATTCTGCACTAGAATTATGAACACTGTCATAATGCAAAGGAGCAAAAAAAAAAAAAAAAAAAAAAAAAAATACTAAAAAAAAAAAAAAAAGAAAAAAAAAAAAAAAAAAAAAAAAAAAAAAAAAAGGATAACGCTGCAAAGCAGTGAATAAAAGATTATCTTTTAAATTAGCATTGTTAGATTGATTGCGTTATTTATTTAGAAAAACATCAAATTTGATCCCTAACTAGTATAGTGCCCAAAAGTCAAAGGCAGAGAATAGTGAAAAGGAAAAAAAAAAAGCAAATTTCTAGGAGATTATGTAGAATATTTACATGATCCTGAGGTTAAAATTTTTTTTCTTAAAATACATTAACCATAAAGAAAACCACTGACAAACTAACCTTATCAAAAAACACCATTAAGATTTCATCCCCCAAACAGCAAAACAACAAAAATAAAATAAAAACAGAAACAAAACCCCCACACCATTTAGGGGTTGGGTTTGATAGAGCTTATGCTTAGTAATGTGTAAGGCCTTGATTCCCACCACCAAAAACAAAAAACAAGAAGATAAAGTAAAATCCAGGACAAGAGAGATGAAGAGATAATTCACAAATGTGAATATCTAAATGCTAATCCATGTATGAAAAATGGCTCGATTTTGCTAGTCAACATGGAATATAAATTAAAGCCACAATGAAACAGCACTATGCCTTTGCCAAAATGGCTAACAAAAGACAATACAAAATACTGGCCAAGATATGGAGCAGCTGGAACTCTCACATACTGCTAGTAAGAAGGCAAACTGCTGTGACACTTGAGATAACATCTAGCAGTATTTATTCAGGTGAATAAAAACATACTCAGCAATAGGTATACACCCAAGAGATATGCTACAAGTTATATGCATGAATATGTACACACACATAAATAACGGTCAAAAACTGGAAGCAATCTAGTTTATCTACTGACGTTTGAATGGACAGTGGTTCAGTCAGGTCACGCCTATGTGTGTGCATGTACAGCAATGAATGGGCTACTACAGCTGTATATAACATAACCTGAACACATCTCACATTATGCTTGGTAAAATTAGTCATGACTCACAAAAGCGTAGATACCACAAAATTTCATTTATATAAAGTTCAAGAATTAAAATGAATAGTTGAAGAACACAGGAAAGCAGCATGGGAATGCCAAAATGATAAGAGTACCTATAGGTGAGGGAAGGGAAGGAGACTGACAGGATGGTATGAAAATACTTCCTGGGCCCAGCTATGTTCTATATTGTTGTTAACACAGGTAGTGATTACATGGATATGTTTTTTGGTAGTATTTATTAATTTTATGGTTTTCTCACTTTTCTGAGCATAGTACACTTTAATATAGAAGTTTAAAAAACAAACAACAACAACAAAAAACACCTTCCCAAAAGTTATTATGAGCTACTAAGGCCCTCTGCTATTTTTATGAAAAATGGGTCCTACCTTTTGTCACTCTATCATGAAGCTTTAATATTTCGAGTGTGCATAATGTGGTATCCCTACAAAATAGTCAATTCTGTTGCTGGTGAAATCCTTCCCTTCTTAGAACCTCAGCAAACATACAGTTGATATAGAGAACATATTTACTGAGTAAATACATTTTCAGCCAGCGTTTTAATACCAAAGGGATCTTGAGAAATCACATAATCTATCTGGCTGCTCTTGCAAATGAGGAAAATGTGGCCCAGGGTAAAGTTATTTGCCAATGCCATCGAGTGGTATTTTATAACACTAAATCTATTATTCTTTCTGTTGTATAATTCTTTCGGAACTATATGTAAAAAGTAGAGAGGGCTGGGGATTTAGCTCAGTGGTTCTGGCGCCTGCCTCGCAAGCACAAGGACCTGAGTTGGATCCCTGATACCCCCGCCAAAAATAGAGAAATGTCTCTTGTATGACAAAAGAAATGTAAGAAAAAGAAAAAGGCAGCCAAGATAGTTCATTCACTGTACACAGTATGCATTAAATAAATGTTATCAAATCCACCAATCCAATAAAATGTGACAAGAAGTTTTAATTTGCACAGACAAGAAAGTTATCTTTCACAATAACCAGCACTGGGAAAAGGGGATGCTGATTCGTCTTATCCACCAGTGTTTTATACTATGTATCAAGATACCAGCCTAAAACTGGAAAGGAGTTGGAGGAAAACAAAGGAAGTGATTAAAGCTGCCACAAAAACAATCATCACAAAAATGCTAAGAGATATGAAGTAGGTCAAAAGAAGAAGAGACCAAGACTGTGTCTTCACATACACTATGTAATTTGGAAAGGTGATTTTCTAAGATCAGTAGAAAAGTTTACTATAAAGAAGCTAGTGGCCTTTATAGGAAAAAAAGTCACATGGTTCACATACCTCAGTCCCTGGCCTTCTGTAGTGAGGAGGGCAAGGAGAGCCCAAGCAAGCACCTGGCTGTCATCCTCTCTGTGAAATTTACTGTAATGCTTGATGTTTTGCAGCAATAGTTGGTCCAAGTACTCCAGCGCCTTCTCTTGAACTGTGCTCTCACAGTCCATCACCACAGGGATGACACCCATCAGCCAGGCCTTCTGAATTGGCACACATCTGGGCTGGGCCTGCAGATTGGGATATTATGATGTCAAAAGGTCTGAACACAATCTAAATACAAAAAAGTCCAAATAACAGTCAGTGAAGTAGTTAGGAACATTTTGAGAGATATGTTAAAATTATCACACCTATATGGCTAGCGGACTTTGCCTGCCTGAAGCCTTGGGTATGATCCCTAACACACCACTATCAATCCCCTAAAAAAACAGAAAGGAAAAAAAAAAAAAAACCTATGATCTATGAATGCAAACACAATATAACATGAAAAAAAATCAATATCCATAAAACACAAAAACAAAGTTAATCTCTAGGTTATCACAAATCTGTGCACGTTGAAATCTTAAACTTATACGTTAAAAACATTATTTCATCATTATAAAAATGTAATGCAGTACATTTTTGGTCATTCAAAAACCAAGAACAAATAATGTTTATCTCAAAGAATAATTAGGATGTTGAAAGTCAAAATACACATCGCTTACTGCCATCTCTCATGAAATAGGAAATAAATATGCTTTTCAAATTCTTTAACAGCTAATTAGTTGGGGTCCAGGGATTTAGCTCAGTGGTTCTGCCACCTGCCTTGCAAATGCAAGGACCCGAGTTCAATCCCTGGTAACCACCGCCCCCCAAAAATCAAATAGCTAATAAGTTGGCAGAAATAAATTATATATAGTATTAGTGAATTGTCCCTTTTGGTACTAACCTCCATACATGAGTATAAATCTTAATTGACAGCAATTAATCTAGGACTATAGCTTAACCAAACTAATTTTTAAATTTCTTTTTCTAAGATTTCAGATGAAATTAAGAAAAGACATTAGCACTGTTTAGTATTAGTTCTGAATTACATTTACTAGAAAGTGTAGTCTATCACATGTAATTGAAGGACATCTCTTCCCTTACACTGTACAGTACTACAGCAGATGTCACTTTGACATTTATCAACAGGTAATTATGTATTATACATAATTTACTGTTTTTTCCTTTTTGGTGCCGAGGCATGCTGTAATGATTCATCTTGACTATGATGGTTCCACTTGCATGGATTGACAAACACCTAGAAAATTAGTAAAACACACTGGTGGATGTGTTTGTGAGGGTGTTTCCAGAGATATTTGGCATGTGACACAGAGAACTGAGGTGGTATACCCATCCTAACGATGGGTAGCACCCCAGATGAAACAAAAGCAGGAGGAAGCCCATCAGCAGAGGTGAAAGCCTGTGCTCCTCTCTCTTTTCCTTCTCCCTTCCTTTTTCCCTGACTGCCATGAGGTAAGCAGTTTTCCTCTGCTACACCTTCTGCCACAAAAGCAACAAAAAGCAATGAGCATAAAAGCAACAAAGCTGGCTGACCATGTACTAAAATCTGTGGAACCATGAGCCAAAATAAATTTTATCTCCTCTAAAATGTTTTTCTCCAGTATATGCCACAGCAATGGAAAGCTGACTAACTTATATATGCTCCAGTCCCAGACTTACTTTTGACACAAGATACCATATAATAGATATAAAACACCTTTCCTCTCACCATAAGAAGTTCAGTGAGAGATTGCACAGCCTGCTTCCGGACAGATACAGCAGGATCCCGACAGTGGTCCTGCAGAATTGTCAGGTCTTCCTCCATACCCAAGATGTCACAGTGTTTCAAGATACTCACTAACACCTAAAGGCATACATACAACAGGAAGTGGTGACTAGAGAGCCATAAATACAGAAAGATCCAAAGCCAGCTAAGGAATACTTCAAGTCTGTGGTTCTCAACTTACCATGTGTCAGGCATCCGTACTCCTCCCTATAATACCCCATATTTTGGAATCAGATGAAAGCTAAGGCCTTTCTCCAGAGAAAGTTTAACATTTCGTGTAAACAAATATTTAAAACCAATTCTACAAAGCTACTGAAATTCATTGTTAGTCCCCAGATTAAGAATCTAAACAAAATAGATTACATTTATAAGTTTGTGATTCTTAAAAAGCCAGCATCCTAATAGGAAACTTAAAAAAAAGAAAATGCTTTCAGGTCACTTGTACAATGTATGTATAAAAGGACTAGTCAACTATGAAAAGCAAATTAAGTCCAAGTGAGGTTCAAGCAACTATGGAGTTAGGATTTAGAAAATATTTCCAAGTTTTCAGTGCTTAAAAATAAAGTACATTTAAGAGTGTGTACAAGAGCTCCCACCTGGAGTGCCGACTTCCTGACGTTGGTCTTCTCATCCCTGATTCTCTTTCTTAGCATTGCCATGACACATCTTTCTGTTGAAGGAATGCCAAAGAATCACCACAGTCTGAGGAAGACCAGAGAGCTAACATGCCACCACATAATACAAAGAAAACACTACTCTTAAAAGACTAACTCATTAGCTTGTTTTAAATCCTAAGAAGTAAGAGCATGAAAAAGTATTGAAAAAGAACAAAATCTGAATGGTGGGTATTTACTATAAAAAACATCAGTTTTGGAATACTAAAAATTTCATTTTAAATGAATTATTTAGCTCTTCTTTTTTGTTCAGCTGCAAATAAGAATATCTAACCTACAGGGTTGTTTTGAAGATTTGATAAGCTATGTAACAGCGGCCTTTAAAAGTCCACTGAAAGGCCTTTTTATATACATATCAACAAAGACTCCAGACCTTTTCTTATGTGGGTTACAATAATGAAAGACTGACAAATTTAAAATGAGAATTGAAAAAAAATTTAGTAATTAATTTTAAAATAGCAAGACATGTTACCATTTATTAACTTCTTAAAGTAAAAAAGAACTACTACATTTTCCAAAACAAAACAAAAGACACCAAAAAAGTGGTACTGCTTTTCATTTTTGTAAACTCTTTAGTGCCAGGCTTTAGTGTTGCAATTTCATGGGACCTCAGTAAAACTCCAATTCACAAATGGAGAAGGTCAGGGTGGGAAAGGAATGATGTCCTGATGTTACTATGAACACATGGTCGCACCAAGGGCTTGGAGTAGTTCAAGGTCACACAATCACACTTTAGGAACTGCCAATTTGTAAAAAAATCACCTTAAAAAAAACAAGAGAATGGAAAATGACAGAGAAAAACAATGAAAACAAAAGTAGGCTCCTTGAAAAGATGTCAATTAACAAACCTTTAGATAGAATGTCCAAAAAAATAAGATGCAAATATCAGGAATGAAAGAGGAGACATTACTATCAACTTTACATAAATAAAAAGGATTATAAAGTAAATACTAAGATCAATTTTATGCCAAGGAATCAAGAACCCTACATGAAATGGACACATTTCTAGAAAGATACAAACTGCAAAGCTGGCTTCAAAAGAAACTGGTAATCAAAAAACCTCATATCACACACACACACACACACAAAAGCCAAAGACCAGATGTTTTTACAGAAGAATACTACCAAAAATGAGTACTAACTCTTCACAAACTCTTTCAAAAAACAGAAGAGAATACGCTTCCCAATTTACAACAATGGGTCAATATTACCATGACAGCAAAACCAATGACCTCTCAATAAAAAATTAATAATCCCTTATGAATATAGATACCAATATTCTCAATAAAATACGAGTAAATCAAATCAAGCATGATATAAAGAGGGTTATACACCATGCTTAGAAATTATCCATGTAAGGAAATGTTGAATCTATATGTGAATATTAGTCAGTGAAAATACCATAGTTGACAGAATGAAAGACAAAACACAATCACCTCCCTGGATTCAGAAAAGGCACAATGCAAAATTCAACCCTCTTTCATGATAAAAACAGTCAACTAACTTGGTGCAAAAGGAAACTTTCTCACACTGAGAAAGGTCATCCTGAAAAAATCCCACAGCTAACATTAGACTTAATAGTGCTGACCCAAAGCTTTCCCCCAGTGCCAAACAGACAAGATGTCTATTCTCCCCACTCTTTTCAACATGACAGTAGAGATTCTAGTCAAGGTAAAAAGGTAAGAAAATGAAATAAAAGGCATCCAGATTAATAGGAAAGGGAAAAATAAAACTGTTTCCAGTCATAGCTTACTTGACCTTCTACATAAGAAAGGTAGAAGGAGCTATTAACAATAACTACTGAAACTAGTACCAAAATTTAGCAATTTTGCAGAATACAAGATCAGTCAACAAAAATCATTTGTAAAAACTAAGCAATTCAAAATTAAATTGAGAGAAATTTCATTTATAATAAGACCAAAAAAAAAAAGCTATATAGATCAAGACTTGTTCACATGAAAACAAAACAGTTTAAATATCGTATTGTTTCTCTTATAGGAGAAACCCAAATCACAGCACTTGGGAGGCTGAGGCAGGAGGATGAGCACAGGTTCAAGGCCAGCCTGAACTACAGAGCAAGACTCCATCTTAAAAAACAAAACAGGGCTGGGGATTTAGCTCCATGGATCTGCCACCTGCCTCACAAACAAAACAAAACAACAAAAAATAAAGTGTACACACACACACACATGCACGCACACACACAAACACACACACACACACACACACACACACATACAGAGAAAAAACTAAACTAAGCAATTCAAAATTAAATTGAGAGAAATTTCATTTATAATAAGACCAAAAAAAAAAAGCTATATAGATCAAGACTTGTTCACATGAAAACAAAACAGTTTAAATATCGTATTGTTTCTCTTATAGGAGAAACCCAAATCACAGCACTTGGGAGGCTGAGGCAGGAGGATGAGCACAGGTTCAAGGCCAGCCTGAACTACAGAGCAAGACTCCATCTTAAAAAACAAAACAGGGCTGGGGATTTAGCTCCATGGATCTGCCACCTGCCTCACAAACAAAACAAAACAACAAAAAATAAAGTGTACACACACACACACACATGCACGCACACACACACACACACACACACACACACATACACGGAGAAAACCAAAGTATAAATGATTTAAAGAACAAAATAAAGAAAGGAAACAGGGAAGAGACCTTTTCCAGATGGAAAAAGGAGCAAGAGATGGAAGGAAGGGGGAGAGAAAAGAGGGGAAAAGGAAAGTAAAAAGAATTAAGATGTGTTTATATACATGTACCAACTCATCGTGATGAATATAATCATTTTATACTGCAAACATGTACTAATAAGAAAAAAACCAACAAAACATCCCTTGAAATAAATTAAAGACCTAATCAAATAAACAGACATCAGATGTTCATGGATCAGAGCACTCACCATGTTAAGATAGCAGCACTTTTCCAAACTGATCTATGTATCAAACCCTATTAAATACAAATTGGTTTTCCTGGCCCCTCCTTTTTGTAGAAATTGACAGCTCAAGTTTCATACAGAAATAAAAGGGACTCAGAAAAGCCAACCAAGTCTGAAAAATTTTGAAAAAGAATATGCAGAACCCACAATTCCTGATCAAAACTTATATTATTGAAGGAAAACAGAGTGTCACCCCAAAATCTGCCTCTATGAAACAAAAATGATTTGTTTGGGCTAAAGGCAACGCACCTCTAAACAGAGGAAAAGCTCTGTGCTCTCTTTAGCTTCAGGTTTTTCTGCTTACCGGCAGGAAATAAACGCTCCTCCATTGGAGACCACCAGATCCTTACTAGCCCAGAGAAGCACTAGAGTAATCAGCAAATAAACCTTACTCCAGCAGTCTCCTCCCACACATTTACCTTCCCAGCTTCCTGCCCTTGAGACCTTAAAATTAAAACCCCTACCCCAAACGTGACTTTTCTCCAACAGCAACTGTCCCCATCGTTTCTACAACTTAACTCTTCTTTGTTAAAGGGGCTGGGGAAGTGAAGGTTAACCCACTGCACTGAGTCACTGAGCTTTCAGATTTCTCTCTCATGACGTGCACTTCATGTCTTAATAAATGTTTTTTTCTTGTTAAACTGTTTTTTGTTATAGGAATTCATTCCAGCTAAGAAAGAACTCGCATGAGGATTGAGGAAAAACTTAGTTTTTCTCTACTATAATATAATGCAACAGAAATCAACACAGCATGGCACTAGGATGAAAACAGACATTAGATCAAAGGAATACAATTCAAAGCACAGAGATAAACGCATATATCTACGGTCAAATAATTTTGACGAAAGGCGCAGAACAGTCTTTCAAACAAATGGTTCTGTTTCAACTGGATATTTGCCCACAAAGAGTGAAGCTGAACTCCTTCCTCACACCATATGTAAAATTAACTCAGAATTGCTTATAGACCTACAAGTAAAAGCGAAAACTATGAAACTCTTAGGTGAAAATATAGGCATAAATCTTTGTGACCTCTGATTAGGTTACGGCTTTTTAGCTGTGACACCAAAAGCACAAGTGAAAAAAAAAACACAACATAATCTGAACTTGAAATTTTTTTAAATATTCACCTAAAAAATAAGGGTTGGACAAACATTTTGCAAAATAACCCTGACACACAGATTCCAATAAATGTGAAAATCTCACACCATTAGGCCTTAGGGAAATAAAAATCAAAACTACAGTGAGATATATCAAAACATCACATCTAGGGGTAGGGATTTAGCTCAGTGGTTCCGATGCCTGCCTTGCAAGTGCAAGGACCAGAGTTCAATCCCCAGGACGAAAAAACAACAACAACAACAACAAAAAAAATCACATCTACTTGGATAGACATGACAAATGCTGGTAAGGGTAGGGAGAGACAAGACTTGTCATACTTTGCTAATGACTTTGTACAATGGTATGGCCACTATGGACAAGTCTAGTGACATCTCAGAACACTGAACACTTGCTACACGACTGAGCAGCTCCACTTCCTTACATGCAGTCAGTGTCCATATCAAAACGTGTAAGTGAATCAATCAACAGCACAGTAACTTACTAAGTGGATTCCAGGATGGCTTGAGGAAAGCTCACAAGACAGCAAAATGACCAGGAACAAAAAAAGAGAAACAAGATTGGGCATAGCAGCACCGTGTTTAGTGGTGACTTTTCCCCAAACATAAATTTAATCTCTACTCAACTTTTCCTAATAACTGGTTCTTTTCTTAGCAATCCCAAGAGTTCACAACAATTAACTGTAAACATAAAATAAAATATCTACTAATTTTTTTAGTGTTAGAGGTACACAGGGGTTCAGTACATGATAACTAGGATATTTATCTTATTATCTTAAAATATAGTACAAGGATATCTATTCAACGATATAATAGAAATCACTTTTAAGGAAAAAATTTCAATTAAGGGTGAATTTTTTTGTTGTTTTATTTTGTAATTCAGGCTGGCCTTGAATTCACTGTGTAATACAATTTGGTCTCAAACTTGCAGCAATCCTCTTGCCTCAGCCTCCGATGTGCTACGCATACAGATGTGCAGCGCAAAGGGATGAAATTATCAGAAAATAAAGTTCAAGGTTTTTAACTCTATTTACTGTCTGAAATCTAATGTGTTACCCATGTGATGGTGATAAAATATGACATTACCTCTAGATCCAGCTATGCGGCCACTGCTGTCTGTGTTCATCTCCCCTGGTGGTTCAAATGGGTTGAATGTTTGCCTCTGACAGGAAAACGCTAAAAAAAGAAAGGTAAAATTCTGTTATATTTTTAATAGCATATTTCTGGGCACAGTGGCATATGCCTATAACCCCAGCACTTGGGGAGGCTTACAGGCAGGAGGATTGATGTGAATTTGAAGCCAGCCTAGGCTACATTTTGAACTACACAGCGAGACCCGGTCTCAAAAAGCAAAAAAAAAAAGTATGTATAAGTACAGCATGTTATAAAGTTATATTATTATTGAGGTGAATTTCAACTTCTTGCATAATGAAGAAAAGTACAACATTAACACAGGCAAATGTGCAAGAAGAAAAAAATTTCAAATGATCAAGTCTTTAAAAGATAATTATGTGCCGGGGATTTAGCTCAGTGGCACCACACCTGCCTTACAAGTGCAAGTTCCTGAGTTCAATCCCTAGTATCAAGAAAAAAAAGAGAAAAAAAAAATCATTAAAAAAAAAAGACAATTAAGCAATATTTGAAAATATACCCGTCCATTACCTGATGAATTTTTCAATAAGGCAGCAGGATGAATCCCTGTTTCTGAAACTGCAGGACCTTTAAAATAAGCGTAGACAGGAGGGAAAATGTATCATGAACCATGAGTAAGTATCACAGAGGCATTCAAATCAAGATAGTTAGGGGCCGGGGATTTAGCTCTGGTTCTGCTACCTGCCTCACAAGTGCAAGGACCCGAGTTCCATCCCTGGTAGATAATACTTAGGCTTAACCGCAAAGCAGACAGATTCTAAATTGCTGACAGTGAACAATGTCCTCATACACAGTCTCCAGGGGAGATCCAGCCTAATACAGCCAATGCCCAAGGGTGCAAACTGCAAAGGCAGTCAACATCCCCTCTAACACATGAACACATGACACTCCTTAAAAAGGATCAGGCATCCCTATTTCAAGCTATTCAAAGGCAGGGGTATACACCAACACTCAGGAGGCTGACTTAGGAGGACCATGAGTTAGAGGCCAGCTCAGACTATAGAATGAAAGCAGGCCTCAAAAACAAAACCAAAACAATTAGGGGTGTACCTCAGTGTCAGATCACATGCTTGGCATATACAAGGCACTGGATTTGATCCTTATCATCAGAAAAATGTCATTAGACAATAAAAGATTCTGAAAATGACTTATGAATATAAAAGTTAACCATACCAAAAGTTGGCTGTCGTAGTGCAAGCCTATAACCCCAATCACAAATTTGAGCCCAGTCTCAGCAAATTATCAACTTATTGAGCCCATGCCTTAAAATGAGTAAAACAACAAGAGGTAGGAATGTAGCTCAGAGCAAAGTCCCTGGGGTCAGCCCCAATCCTGAAAAAAATTCATTATCGTTGTTATATCATACCCATTATTTCTGCCACAGAAAAAAAACTAAAGAATGATCCCTTACAGTTAACATCCAGACTTTTTTGGGAGGGTTGGGAACCAAACCCAGGGCCTGCAAATGCCAGTCAAGTACTGTACTGTTTCTGACACTGAACAACACTCTCAGCTTCTCTTACTTACTATTAACAAGCAGCTCCAATATACTCTCTGATGAGTTGTGAATGGATATCTCTAGACAATGTGCAAAGCTGGAGAGTGCCTTGCTGCGCACAGTAGGAGCTTTGTCCAAACAACGGTCAAACATAATCTCCTGCACCAAGAATTTGTGCCTTAGGAACTTCTGGTGCTCCAAGGAGAGAGTGCCATCCACCACTCTTTCAGGCAGCTCTAACAGAGCTAAGACAACATCAAGAGTAAAAACCCGGTGGGCAATCTGGCAAAGCAAACCATAAGAGTTACCATGAGACAGGGACAAGAACCAAAGAACTCTCCTGCCTTAGATCTGAGTGTCACCTGACAGAGCCAGGACAAGGGATTTTATGAAGATAAAACTCTGACCTTGGAACTTCGTGAGTATTTGTAAAGCCAGGAGATGAACGTAGCATATTCCCCACAAGGGAGTTTACTCAGCAGGTGCACAAGGGACTGAGCTGCAGAGGTCCGATACTCTGATTTATCTGTCACCTGAAACACAAAATTCAGAAAGGTGTTTAGCCTCAGTGTAACAACAGCTGAAACCCTTGTTGTGATGTACACTGAAAATTAGTGAGTGCAACCAGTTTAAGGATCTTTAAGTGTTATGTAAATAACTAAGAAATTTCAGATTCCAGACCTCTTTGAAAACTGAACTATAAACCCTCTGTCCAGAAAATTTCACATACAGGGGCAACCCATTTTCCAGGACCCCTTCTGTCTTAGAAGCTATCTTTCTTTCAATAAATTCTTCTACTCTGAGGAAAAAAAAAAGAAAGAAAAAAATTACACACACAAATTTATCACACAATTTCAGAGTTTATGACTCTCTAGGATCTGTAGGGTTTAAATTAAGAATCATTTGTCTAAGTAGTTATAGAAATTTAGAAGATATTCATGAAAATTTGAACACTGGCTGAATTACTACTATTTAGGTGTGTTAATATATTGTAGTCATATTTTTAAAGAGTTCTTAAATAAAAAAATTGAAATATTATGAACAAAAGGATATAATGGAATCTACTTAAAAGAAACAACCCAGTGTGTACGTGTGTGAGGAAGGGGTGTACAAATGACACAAAATTGATGAAGATGGGAGATGGGTATAGGATGGTGATTTAACATATAATTGTCCTTGTTTCTCTTTAATATTTTCCAAAATAAAGTTTATTTTTTAAAAGAATACTCTGTTTAGAACATTTAGTATTAAATAAAACATTTGAGTAATTATAGACACATTCCCAACAACAAATATACATTTTTCTTCATGTATGTTACATACAAGCATATAATCATTATTATGACTAAAGCAAAAGGTACCTTGGCACAGATGTGCTGCAGTAGGATACGAAGAACTGGAAATATACTCTCTTTTAGTTCATCCACAAGCAAGCTATTTTAAAAAAGCACAGTGTTTATAATATACCTATTATGACAAAAGTAGTAATTTTCCGACTCTGTCCTCAAAAACTACCACTACTGTGTTTTAAAAATTCCAAATATTAAAACAAATTTGGTGGAGGGGGTGAAGGGAGGGCAGAGGTATGGGGAAAAATGAGAACCAAAATCTGTCATATAAAGGTACAAGATCCCAAAGATGAATAGAATGGTACTGTATACTTAAAAAGCACCAATAAACTCAGTAAGATTTAAAAAAAAAAAAACTTACCCACATATTGTAAGAGTTGTTTCAGTAAAATAAAGAACACAGACATAAGGTATTAAGAGTAGAAAACTGTTAAGTACTTCCTATGTACAGTTTTAAAGAGCTGTTGTTGAGAAGCCAAGTCGGGGCAAAACAAAAATTCAATCTTCATAGAGTTAATTTTGACTAGCTGTTAAATTTCATATTAATACAAAAACTATATGTAGCTGGGCAAGGTGACACATGACTATAATCCCAGCACTCCAGAAAGACTAAGGCAAGAAGAATCCAAGTTTGAGCTCAGCCTGGCCAACTTAGTGAGACTATCTTTACAAGGAGTGGGGAGGTGGCTGGAGATGTAGCCTACTGTGAAGGAGTCCTCCACAAAAGCAAACCACACCAAAACAAACCAACCAAACACCTCAATGTAAAATACATCCTTTTAGGATAGACACACTACTAAGACATACTACCACCTTGTGGCGGGATAGAGAAATGCTGTTACTTTAATGTATTTGTAACATTCCATCTCCAAACTCTTTAAGAACTTACTACAATGTCCATATTTGATCCATTTTTAGCATTAAATTTATTTGTATCATTATATGGATGGTATTGCAATGGGCAACATGATGAACTCTCATGGAGAAACCAAAGTGACCATGTCTCCACCTGAAGCATTTAGTTGTTAAATGTTAAAAAAAAAAAAAAAAACCAACCAAACAAAAAACCTTATAATAGCCAGGTAGACTACATGCCTGTAGTCCAGCACTTGGGAAGATGAGGCAGGGTTGTCCTGAGTTCGAGGATAGCCTGGGTTACAAAGTGGGTTCAAGGCCAGCCTGATCCTGTCTCAAAAACCAAAAAAAAAAAAAAAAAAAAAAAAAAAAAAAAAAAAAAAAATCCCAAAAGCAACAACGAAAAAAACCTTAGCAAGACATGATGTGTTCAGTGATAAGACATCACCACCCTATGATTCCAGCTCTACACAGTGCACAGCTGTGGACAAATATACACTCCCAGGTACGTACTCACCACTCTTCTCTGCACCTCCACAGTGCATTCCCAATATTCAGCGAGGGAAGGAAAGGATAGCTGAGGACACAGCAAACTTATCTTTCCCAATAAAGCTAAGACAGGACTTTAAAGTGCAGCTGAATGACTCATGGGGAAAAAGTAGTCTATCAATTATTGCTAAGGAAGCAAAAGTAATTTACTTTTTTCCTCCAGGAAGGTCTTTCTAAGGGGGAAGGGGACAGAAAAGTGAGAAGAAATTAGGAAAAAGGGGCAAGGAACAAAAGCAAAGAGATATGAGCAAAGAAAAACAAGAGAAGAGGAAGCAGACTTCTTTCTCAGTTGGAAACGTGAATACCTAAGCCAGCGAAGGTGAACTTATAGCACACACGCTACTGTGATTTTAAAACAAAAGATACTAATGTAAAATTGTTGTTTCTAAACTAAAACCTCAGTATTCAGATTTAATCACAGTGCTGGTGCTCTTTGATAAATAAGTGGGTTTTAGGTTATAGTTTGGCATTTGGTCTCTAAAAGGTTTGCCATCACTGACTTATGCACAGTGCTAAGAAAAAGGAAGCAATTGTCTTTCTCAGAGGCTGACCACATAGGCTGCATGGAATTAAGTTAGAGGCTGGCTCTGGCCTAAGAAATGCAGGTTTTCCATCATTTTAACAATGTCCCGACATAGGAGTTACCAACAATTATTCAGACCACAAGAACCAGATCATTTTGACATGCAAAACTACTATTCAGCCAGATATTTCGACTCCATAGGCATTGGAAATTTTGGTTAATGTGGACTCCAGAAGACTGAGGCAAAGATAAAGAGAGCAAACATCTGTGTGCCTCACCTGATAAACTGGACTGCCTGGTTTTTACGACTGATGACTTGTGAAGTAATAGCAAGAGGGGTGTGAGGGGATCCTTCACCTACTTCTAACATCAATATTACATTTAGCATCTGATGGAAAATACAACCAATAACCTAGAAAAGAAAAGAAAATTCAATTTGTGCACAACAAAAAGTACAAAGATCTCAAACACCGTGATGCAGACTATAGTAAGTCTCTTTAAGCCATCTGAAGACAGGCAAAGTTAACAGAATTGCTGGCTGAAAACTAGAGGTATGTTTCTTGGATAATTACTAGGCACCCAATAAATGCACAATGTATAAAAAACTGCTTATAGAACACGATCTAGTTTCTCTCCCCATTCACGGCATATAACCTAGAATTGATGGCAAGTAGAGAACTGCTACTCATAAATAAAAAATTCTACTAATGTTCCTTTATTCTAAAAAGGGGAAGAATGATACCTATGTTAGCTCATATAATTTATTCAGCTAGCTAATTTATTCATCTGACAAATCAAACATTTAATAAAGCCAAATATATAGTAGGTAGTACATTAAGTTACTGCTTTCTTTAGCCAGACTTTAATGTATTTTCACTTTTAAGCCTTTCAACAACTCCATGAGGCAAGAAGGATAATGTACAATTTCCAATAATAGATAACAAAGGAAACTGCAAAGGTGAGTTGGTTGTCCAAGTCAAGTAAAATTCTGGTTAAAATCAAGGCTACCTAATTCTTCTAATTAAAAGGAAAATTCCCTTTCCATTTTATCTTTTCAAATGTTAAAAGGACATGAAAATTAAAAATATTTCTGTGGGTTATATTTTCCCCATATTTTAAGCACATAGAAATTATATGTAATACATTATAAAATAGCAAATATTTTTTAAGCAAGCATTTCACTCAGTATTTGGCATGTTTAATTTCATTTAACCATTTACCAGTCCAATTATTTAAATACAAGATGACAAAATTGCACATTTTTTCATTAATTCTTACAACATGAAATATAAAAATGACAATTTTATCAAATTTATTCAGCATTTTTCCTGTGAACAGCATATCATAAAACATTTAATATACAAAGCAACATTACAAACTGGATAGTAGTATCTAGTCTCTTTCTGAATTATTTTTGTGTTACTGTCTTTATTTATTTTTTTTGAGAGAGAGAGAGAGAGGGTCTCACTATGTAGTTCAGGCTGGCCTTGAACTTAAAGCCATCCTCCTGCCTCAGCCTGCCAAGTACTGGGATTACAGGCATGCACCACCATACCAGGCTGTCTTTCTTTGAACAGACTTTACACCACTGTGTTGGCCTTTCCTTTTTTTTTTCTTTTGGGTGGTATAATTCCTACAAAATGTCTACCCACTAAATGTAATGGTGAAGATGTCAATAATGGACATCCTGCTTGGCATTTCTCTCTCTCTCTTTTTTTTTTTTTTTTTGGTAGCAGGGATCGAACTTGGGTCCTTACGCTTACAAGGCAGGCAGCAGAACCACTGAGCTAAATCCCTGGCTTGGTTGGCATTTTTTTATCCCATATTTTTCAATTATTTGGTCTATTAGACCTAAATTGTAAATGACTTTTTGAACCTCCTTGTTTTAAATAAACAAAAAACGAGTTCCATTATTGTTTGGTCCAAAAGGTGAATAAATATTTTATGACATTTGATATTTTTTTCCTCACTTTTGGATTACAGGATATCTTGTGACGATGTTGATCAACTCTGTCAATACTATACATAGAATTATTAAAATCACTGACCAATTTTGGAATTTTTAAAGTTTTGTTTTTTCTTTCAAATTCTTTATTTTTGTATTATGAATACTTGACAATAAGGAAATGTCTTTTCTGAGTCTCCACTTCATAACAGACTTTTCCTCTCTGATATGGTAACACTTCTCCCTTTTCAGCTTTTGCTTTTGTAGATCATTTGGCACTTCCCTCCTGTTCAGTCTCAGTGTCCCAAACGTGCTCATTCTGTGCTATAAAAGAGTAACACTGAGTTCTGGAGAAACAGAAAAATTATATCTGATGTACTTATGCTAAGAGTTTTTATACACTGTAACACAAAATTGTAAGTTATTTTTCACATGTAAACATGAATTAGTAAAAGAAAATAACCAGGACTTACTATTAGATATCACTAGAACAAACATCAAAGGTGAATACAACATTCTAAATAAAAAGTATGTAAAAAATGCTGATATAAAACAAATAAACAGACATACAAGTGTATCTCATGCAAACAAGAAGCACACTATCTGAGTCTCACTTGAAGTGGACCGTTAAGTGCCAAAATTGAGGCTCTCACAAAGTTGAACACACAAGGAAACAGAGCTAGTGAACAGTGGAGTTGCAATGTGAGTATAGGTGTGCAGTGTCTCGAGCACACCCAAACCTTCCTTTAATCCCACCATGCTCCTACAAAGTAACTGCTACAGCCACCAGAAGCCACAGGACCTTGACCATTTTCTCAAAAATTCTGTTATTAAGCATATCTAGTTTAGAGATACTGTAATGCATCAATTCCCTACCCTTGATGTTTACTGTAGTAATAATATTCAGGTAATTTAGGGCACCAATTCTGATATCAATGCTAACTAGAAATAAAACCCCATAAAATGTGTGAAGAATATCAGCTAAATTAATACAAATACTAACATATATTGAAGCACATATGAATTGCCAAGAGGAAACTTAAAGATTCTGTGACTTTCTGTTCTTCTTTTTTGGAATAATTTCATGACTATTTCTGGAATAGTAACTTGAGCAGCTTATCAGTTCTTCCTAATTCATGATGGAACCTTTTTTCTTTTTTTGGTCTTATCTGAAACCTAACAATTTGCTATGGTCCACAAGTGCACTGGATGTGTAAACCTGGTAACAAAGACTCGACAGTGAATAAAAATAGTGATGCTAATTTTTATTATACAAATAGTACAAGGTCCTAAAAGTATCAGCAAAATAAAATGACATCACAGTGGCTCCACCATTTGCCTCACAGGTGCAAGCCTCTGAGTTCCATCCCTGGTATCAAAAAACAAAACAAAATGACATCACAGTAGTCACCACTCATCTATAGAGGATACACACCAAGCCCCGTGGTTAGCACTAGCGCAATGAGAGATTAACTAAAATCACTAGTAAAAGTAGAACAACTACACTGTAACAAAAGTTGTTTAAACGTGGTCTTGTAAAATATCTTATGGTATGAACTCTCATCTGGGGCTGACTGAAGGGAACTGAAATGCTGGAAAGTGAAACTGCTGATAAAGAGGAATTACCAAATGCCTCTACATTTTTGTCTTTCCACTGTGTGGTCTGCCTGGTAACTAAATTAAATCCTCCTTTCCCTTACCTTATCTCCTTCTCCATGAACAGGGGAACATAGCAAATATAATCCATGGTAGGCGAGTTCTGGTATGTATTTTGCTTGGCTAAGGTTTCTAAAGAAAAAAGGCAAAACACTTGTTAATAGACATGATTTTACTAGGAATGTTTCTTAACTCTTTAAGCTTTATTTAAATGTTATTATTATTATTACTATTTTTGAGATGCAGCCTCACTGGTACCCAGCCTGGCTGTAAACTTCTGGATTCAAGTGATCCTCCTGCCTTAGCCTTCCAAGTAGCTGGGACTACAGGCATTTGCCACCTTAGAGGGCTTCTAAGCCAAGCACTATTTAAGTGAGTAAATTCTACCTGTATATGCCAATTACAATAAAATGATATACTTATACTGAAGTAAAACATACTATACTATATTTATATTGTAACTATGGAAGATTTAATGGCTCACCTGGCTTGTGTAACACGAAATTCATGAAGAACTGGCTCGAGAGTAGTTAATGCAACAAAGACCTGGAAAACATCAAAGAAAGGTCTGATTTTTCCTACTTGGTAAGAATTAGCCATGGTCTATGCCCTTTGAAATTGTTCCAAGTACACTTACCTCAATACAAGTCTGAACACACTGTGGCTTTTCTCTGAGGGAAAATTTGGGCAGAAGCCTCAAAAAATTCTTCAAAAGGTCAAAGACAGCATTTCGAATTTGAGAAAGATTCCGCGCAGAAAAATAAACATCCTCTTCATCACCTTCTTCTTCTTCTATAATTTCATCCATCTGGATTATGAAAAGTCCAGGTAATATAGGTGAGAACATAATAATTCACTCAAATCAAGTGCGGTTAAACTATAGGCAGCAGCTGAATGACTGAGGTGATACAGCCTTGACTAGGTCCCTTCATTGTAGGTCCATGGCCACGATGGTAAACCACTCGACTGGATAATTACTACAGCAGTTTCTCTCTCTATTCTTTCTGTTAATGAGAATTCCTGTATTTCTTACAAGTTTAATGTCAGAAAACCTCTACCGTGTAATCTTATCATACAAGAATGTAGAAATCATGCTATTTTATTATATTCTTAGGGACATGACCTTCAGGATACTTCAACTGTGCTTTCTCATGATAATAATATGGCAAATATACTGATTAGCAAGCTGCCAAGCACACCTGGGAAAAAGTTTATTTTTAGTAAGGAGGGTGGAAAGGCCACAATGCAGAACCACATCGCTGGGTAGCACACAAAGGATAGCAGATCAAAGTTTAGGATCATTCAATTATAATCACACTGCTCAAACCTTATCCTCAGGAGAAATTAAAATTTTGTGTTGGCCTAGATAGGTTTTATTATTCTCCTTCCTTCTCACCTCAGAATCCTCTCTCCTGGGCGGCTTTCCTCTCTTTCTGTGACCCCTTGAATTAACCTGAGAGCCCCGAGGCTGTTCTTTCTTTCTTTTCCGATTCAATTTAGATTCCTGAGGCCAGCTCTTCTTTAGAATCTGAATGCACTTGTCAAACATCACTGGGTGGAACACCTGATTGGCTATACTACCTAGTCATAAAGAATAAAGAATAAAAGATTAAATTGTCTTCAAATACGCATATTAACAACAGATAAAAACTGGTGAAAAAAAACCTAAAGACTTTCACTAATTTTGAATAATAACGATCTTTAATAAAAACACTCTTCAACTTCAGCCTTAAGTGTGAACAATAGTGTTAAATGAAATATAATAATAAGAGTGGGGTGTAGTGCTATATAGCTGTAATTCCAGCATTCTGGGATGCTGAGGCGGGAGGACTTCAAGTTCTAGCTCAGTCTGGGCAATTTAGCAACTTAGCAAGACCCTGTCTCAACATTTAAAAAAGAGATGGGGACTTATGTCAGAGCAGAGGCCCTGGTTTAAATTTCCAGTATTGCACAGATTAAATAAATAAATAGATTTTCCCATGTGGCCACAACAGGTTTTGTACTTGTCTTCCTACTGGTAAGCAACTAGAAAACTGGACAAAAATTTTAAGGTACTAAGTAAGAAAAGCAATCCCTTAAAAAAGGAAACAATAAATTTAAAATCACCCCTATTTTATATCTAAAGGCAATTTCTGGACAACAGCAGAGAAATAGTGAATCGAGAAGCATATTATAAAGGTCTTGCTAAATGGAGAAATCTGAGTCAGGAAGTCAGGGGTAGTTGGAATATATATGTCACTGAATATAGGTAGTACTGAAGGAACTGGAAATACAAAAGAGCTCCAGAAACCTGCACACAACTGAATATCAGGTATGTATACATGGAATAAAATCCATCTGTGTTGGACAAAGAAATATTTCCAAGAAACCAGAATTATTTTCACAATCCACACAAAACTGAGACACAGTTGAGCTCTAAACAGCCACAGTGGAGACTTTAAAAAGTCCAAAGAGTTCAGTAGAGACCTCATAGGAAACAAACCTTAAAAATAGGGGTAAACTAAATATGGAATAAAAGCTACTTTATAACTGCCCTAACAGTTTTTTAAAAAGTTCTCAAAAGGATCCAGTTAATCCACTATTAACTATGAAGTACCAGTACATAGTTCAACACTATTTAAAAGCTGCAACAAAATCCAGACACTCAACAACATGATTCAATCTGATCTAGATTCAATGCAGTCCCTGATAAAATCCCAGCTGCCTTTTCTTTTGGAGGGGGCAGAAATTCATACACAGATCTTAAAATCCACATAGAAATCCACATAAGGTCTCAATACAGGCAAACCCATCTTGAAAACTTTAATAAATATTAAGTATCAAGAGCATCTAGATCATAATACAGAAACACTTAGAAACAGAAGGTCATTGGCAAGAAAACAGCTTGATGCAAGTGGTCCACAAACTTTCAAACAGCCATCTCTTTGCTTTGGCCCAAGAGTCAACCTTCATCAGAAGGAAGCATATCTGGCCAAGGAAGAGGAATGAAACTCAATTTCTAAAGCCATCATTTTTCTAAAAGAAGGCCTAGCTATAACCACGATACTAGAGTACCCAGCAATTAAGTTCTTTAGAAACTTACTGCAAAAGTCATTATGGAAGCATTAACAATAACATATATCAGTTTTCAAAACTTTGAACATGTTTTTACATGTTCCCAAATCATACAGAATAAACTGCTAACATTTATTACAAATGCATTTATATAAACAATGGCAAACAGCAAGCTGACTGACCCTGTGATTATCTTTACTCTAAGAACTCAAGGTTCTCCAGTTCCATCTCCATGCTATTCTTTCTTGCTCAGATTTAGGACAGAGAGAAGAACAGACTTTTTCACTGCTCAGCCATGTAAATGCTCTACAAGCACAACAACAAGGAGGAACAGCGCTCATAGGTAGATTTCGATTTGGTGTTTTCGTTCATTTAGTATTTGTAAGTAACCTAAACATACCCTCCCAGACAGCTCTACATTACTTATAATACCTAATACAATGGAAATATAAGTAGTTGCTCTATAAATATAAGTAGTTACTTACTGTGCAATTCAGGGAATAATGTCAAAAATTCTGGGTATGTGCAGTACAGATGCAACCATCATATGCCTAACCACACAGTACATTATCAGCAACTTGTAATATTTTTCTTTTCATGTATTTTCCATCTACAATTGGTTGAACCTACAGATGCATAACCCACTGATACAGAGAGCCAAATGTATACATACCTGGTATTTCTAGAAGCAAAAAATAAAGTCCAGCAGCATGAAGACCATACTCTCGATACTGCACACTCACATTTTTCTTGTGGACTACTTGAACAAAGTGATAGAATAATGCCACCAGTGTACTATGGGAAATACTGTTCTCAATGAAAAAGGTCCAAACCCTCTGGAGGGAGAGAGCAAATCATGAAAGCCAGTAATTAAGAGAAATGACAAAACTGCTTATTTTATTTAGTATTTATTAAGTATTTAGTGCTTCATTGCTGGGAGCATTGCTCTGTAGATCACTATGGCCAGGCCTAACTCGCCTCTTCCCACAGATGAGGCAGGGCCCCACTGAAGAACAGGTGACAAGAGGGCATGGTGGGGTAAGGCCTGGCAGAGAAGAGGATTATCTCCCTTCTCGCCCATTAGCCAGAGAAACATCAATCATGATGTCCTGCGAACCTTAGCTCTGGTACACAGCAGCCTCTTTTACCTCCCCAAATGTGCAGCCATTTGCTTGTGGTCTTTTCCTCCCATTAGAAGTTAAGAGCCCCACCTATACCTTATTAAATCTCTGTCTGTCTTTCTTAACTAATCTCACTGTTGTTTTTCACTCTGTGAACCCTTCTGCCACACAGTTAGTAGCACCTCACAAAAAGAATAACAAGAACTGGAAGTGAAACTCAGTGGTAGTTCACACTTAGCATATGCAAAGCCTGGCATCTGATCTCTAGCCCACCCCCAAAAGAGTAACAGACCAGCCTGCTAGTCTGGCTCCTATGATAAATGATTACCATCTTCAAAGGACTAAAACAAAAGATCAAAATTAAAAATTTATTATTCAAAATTACCAAGATAAGTATAAGAAATGTATTAAACATTTCAGAGATATTAATACCTAATATCATGTATTTAAAAAAACATCAGACTAGTACCCTGAAATTTTTGGAAAAAAAAAAAACTACTAAGATAGTACAATGAACAACCACATCCTTATGTTTCTCTTGTAATCTTTTTGAACCATGTGCTAAAAAAGCTAAAATCAGACTGTAATAAGGATTTCTACTGTCTATTTAACACCTAAACATTACTAGCTTTATTGTTTTTTCTTTACCTCTGAAGAACCACATTCTTCAGTAGCAAAGGGGAAAAGACTTTCATAGAGTTTTGTGAAGGCGCTCAATCCAGTCTCTATGATTTGTGCTTCTACACTGGAATCCAAAGGCTCAGTCTCTGTGAAGTCCAGTTCCCACACTGTGTCCACCCATTCTAGAGGAAAAATGCAACCAAATTAACAAGTGCTCAAAAACACTTAAAAACTCAGCATCTTTACACCAGACTCGGTCAGTGCATGCCTGCAATCCCAGTACTCAGGAGGCTGAGGCAGGAGGATCACAGAGTGCTAGAGGCCAGCCTGGGCTACATAGTGAGTTCAAGGCCAGCCTGAACTACATGGTGAGTCCCTGTTAAAGAAAAGAAAAGAAATGAAATCAACTTTAGACTCCATGTACACTTTAGAAAAATCATAGCAAATTTAACTATAGCAATATAGATGTAGTGAAACTGAAAATAGTAAAGAAAATCTTTTTTTTCCTAGTCATAACTGAAAGTTTGCTATTAACTTAATTATCTAAAAACATCAAGAAACAAACACTTCTTAGATGGAACAGATTTGGGGAATGACACTTTAATACACTTAATAAACAAGCCTTCCTATAAATTCTAGAAAGGGGATTAATTAATGATGTCCTCACATGCACTTTTGTGAAAAATCTCATAACCAAGTTAATAAGACCAAACAAAGGGTAGAGTACTTTCCTGGGCCCTTGGACAATAATGTACCAAGTTATAAAACAGGTATCAGCTGGGCACAATGGCACACACCTATAATCCCAACACTCTAGAGGCTGAGGCAGGAGGATTAACTTCAAGTTCGAGGCCAGCCTCAGCTACATACTGAGTTCAAGGTATGACTCTGTCTCTAAATTAATTAATTAATTTTTTGAAAAGATACCATTTCCCCAAGAAGTTTAAACTGGAGAAGATAAGCCTGACTCACAGAAATACTCAGCTCTTCGACCAATGGGAAAAATGTATTAATGCTGCATTCTTGCTGGATTCCCTGCCACGCTCTCTTAACTCTAAGCCTTATCATATTTTTCTAACCAGTTATTTTTCTTCTTTGTTTTCATTTTATTGTCCCACACCTAAAACTGGGACTAGATAAAAATGTGGAAATCTCAGAAAAATTGTTAGTCAAGTATTTCAAATTAATATTCTTTGTTTGCCACTGATTTAGAGAAGCTGGGCAGGATATGTAGAAAAGAGATGGAAAGCCACCACCTTTAATTTTTATCTTGATTTTCAGGGTTACACTGTACTAAGCAAATGAAATGATAGTTAACTAGTTCCATCCTCTTTAGAATAAAATCTTCGAATCACCTTTTGACACTTGAGACCCTACAGGAGTCCCTGTAGCTCAAATGACTTTGCATAACATTCCTTCCAAAGAGATCCAATATGCTGCCTGACATTAAGACCTCAAAAATACAATTGTTTCTTTGCGTATTTCCAGTAATGTTTTAATGCTCATATAGACATTATAACAGCACAAGTATCTCACTCATTGTTTTAGCAAATGTTTTGCATATGCTAACTTGTTTAGCATGTTTTGCATATGATAACTCACTACTGTCTAATTTGGAAGGAATCAACTGTCCGATTCCATAGTCCTAAAGTCTTCAATCACATTATTTCTAACATTTGGTTCTCCACAGGAAATTAGCATCCAAAAGCTGCTAAGATACTCCTGCAATGCTCGGGTTGACTATGGGCGGACTTGGTTTTGGAAGACAGTGTAGGCAGGAGGGAGGAAGCACGAAGGAAAGGACACCGGATTTGTGGCCTGGCTGATGCCACTATCTCGCTGTGGGAACGCAAGCTCCATTCTTGAGCTATCTACATTTGAGACATTTAGTAGGACCTATGAACACGAAGTCAAGAAACAAGTCTGACTAAAGAAAACGATCTGTGAATTAATTCCACTGGAACAGATAAAAATTGCTAGGTCCAGGGACACCTGCAGAGTAAGAGGGAGCAGGCCAGGAAAACAGACACAAGCATGGAGATCAACCTACACCAGCTCTTTTCCCTGCCGGCCACCGTCCTAGCGGGACACAAGCCTGGGGTCCCCGCACTGCGCCGAGAGCTCCCCTCCCCCACCCGCGCCCGAGCTGAGGTACCGCTGGGGGCGCGAAGCACCTCAGCCTGCCCTTCGGGACTCGCGGTTGCATCTTCTCACCCAGGTTGAGGTCCAGCGGGCACCAGGGTTGCAGGCCGCTCCCAAGGCCCCGCAGCGCCACCATGATCCCAGAGGAACCAGCTTGCTATCGCCGCACTCAACTTTCAAAGCTCGCTCCCGCGCGCGCTCCGAGACGTTCTTGCGGACCAATCACAGCTTACCGAATTTCCAATCGACCAATCAACGTGCAGGACCGGTTTCAAGCTCTTCACCAATCATATAGGTCGTCCGCTGCATGCGCAAGGAATAGGGGGCGGGGCGATGACGAAGTGGTGCGACGTTCTATGGGGTGGTAAATTTTTTGCTTTCTGTATAAAGTAGGGGTCAAGTGCTACGTTAAAGCCTTGTGGCTTCATTTCCGCCTCTTTTTCTTAAGTGGAGGAAAGCTAAAGATAATTTCAAACACGATGCTGCCTGTCACAACTGTCACCTTTGCCCCTTATCAGACGACATTTTGCGCTCGTGTCAAAGGGCTACCTTCACCGCGTCAGACAGTTCCCGGACGCTGTATATATTTAAGTGTAGGTGGCAGCCCAGTATTTACTGAGCTAAAACGGTAAGGGAAAGGCAACCTAAAGCATCATCAGAATGTCTCCCATTTCTTTGTATTTGACAGAACCTCCGAGCCCGAGTTGTACTGGAAAGAAGCCCGGGTTGCCATCTCAACTGAGGGAGAGGCCGGCTCTCTCCCACTGCACATGCGCAGTGAGCACACCTCTTGGTAACCGGGAGGCTGAGGTAGGAGAGAAGACATGCGCAGGCGCGCAGCATCTACAGCACATCCGGCTGGAGCTTGCCTCCCCCTCTCGGCCCAGAGCCGCGAAACGCCTCGGTGCGTTGCACAGTGGGAGCTCGAGCTGCTATCCTTGCTGCAAGGCGCTAGACCCAGCCTGGTGGACGACGGATAGTGCCCTCTAGGCTCTTCGCCATTGACCACCCCACTAGAGTTGCACCTTCGACCAGCCACCCTCTCCCGTTAGCTGTCGCCCACTGGTGTTTAGTGCTTAGTGCAGCGGCCGAGGGCGCTCCCGCAGGGCCCTTGTCCCCTTTCCCTAGGGCAGCCCGCGCCTGAAGGCAGGAGCGGACCTCGAGGAACCTGGCCCCGCCCGGCCCGGCGGAGCGATGAGCTTCTTCGGCTTCGGGCAGAGCGTGGAGGTGGAGATCCTGCTGAACGATGCGGAGAGTAGGAAGCGAGCAGAGCACATTAGTGCAGCGGCCGAGGGCGCTCCCGCAGGGCCCTTGTCCCCTTTCCCTAGGGCAGCCCGCGCCTGAAGGCAGGAGCGGACCTCGAGGAACCTGGCCCCGCCCGGCCCGGCGGAGCGATGAGCTTCTTCGGCTTCGGGCAGAGCGTGGAGGTGGAGATCCTGCTGAACGATGCGGAGAGTAGGAAGCGAGCAGAGCACAAGACAGAGGACGGCAAGAAGGAGAAGTATTTCCTTTTCTACGACGGGGAGACAGTCTCCGGGAAGGTGAGCCTCGCGCTCAAGAACCCAAACAAGCGGCTGGAGCACCAGGGCATCAAGATCGAATTCATTGGGCAGATTGGTGAGTCGACCCCGGGACCTCCCTTCCCCCTGCGCCTTCCTCCGGGTTGGGCCCTGAGCAAGGGGCGGGGGATAAAGGAGCAAGGTGTTTGAGGGCCCATGTCCAGCCGGGCCCCGTCACAGACTCTTGTCAACTGCATTGTGAGGCCTGGGGTTCAAGTCCCGCCCGTGGGCGACTTCCCCTGCGTTACCGTCTTCCCTGCCAAAAGTGACAGCACACTCATTGCCAAGAAGGTGGGGACAGCAAGGGTGGGAGGGCAGAGCCCTACGTGCCATCCAAGGGGCTCCCTGGGTATTCCCATTGTGTCCTTAGCATGCTCAAAGCTCTGCTTCTTGCCACCAGGATTTCATTTCAGAGCCAAGTGCTCCAGCCATAGCGTGCAGGTGGGTCTGTTAGCAGGGACTTCGCCTCCACACTGTTTTTCCCATCTCTGGTCATCTACGCTGTCAGATTCAGAGTTAAACTGCGCCCCCCGCCGCCCACACCTCTTTTCTCTTTAGATGTGCCAGTGAGAGAGCTCACCAATTGTCTTGTCTCCCCTCATCTCTGAACTGCCTATCCTGTACTTGTTTGTAAAAGAAGGCCTATAATCTTCGGCCTCGTTCTGTCTGCCTACCTAAATTGCATTTCTCAAACTGTTATTAGAGTGCTAGTCTTCAGTCGTCTCATTTTCTCCTTCAAGACAAAGAAGTGATGTTTCCAAAACCGCAATAAATGATCAGTATTTCTCAGTGTTCCATACAATTTTCAAACACAGCTATTAATCGTTAGACCTAGACAGCAAGAGTCACTAACAAAAATAAGGGAGCTGCCTGACAAGGGTGGGTTATCTCCAGAGATTGTTTGGAGACTTATATGTTACCAGAATACCCAGGTACTTCTAAAATTAATCATTTTTGGCATGAGGTCAAGAGTAGGCTCACAAAATATATGAAGTGGGCTACAGGGCTTCCTCTCCAGGGAATCCATACTGTCATGAACACATGACAGTTTTTGGAGACTTCCTTGGGAGTAGTTGCTAAACTCTCTCATATCCTGAGAATTCAACAAAGCATTTGTTTTCTCCCTCTTGTAGAAGCAGGAAACACTGAGACACAGGTAGGAGAAACGCTAGCAGAAGAAGTCCTGGCAGGCTGGCCCTGCAATCTACTGTTCGGCCTCAAACATCTTTGCCTCTGGTACTTAAGAAAATGAAATCAGGTTGAAAACTGGCTGATCCTCTAGGAAGCTTTTGTTGTTATTTTAAAAGCAGAATGTGAGAGACCTGTTCCTGTACTAGAAAAAGGGCTGAAGAATAGGTTTCGTGCTTTCTGCTTTTCTGCTTCTGGCTTAGATGGTAGGATTACTCAATAGCAGTGTCGTTGACACTTGGGGCTGGGTAGGGCTTTGTTGTAACAAGTTTTTAATAGTCTCACCAGTCTGTACCAACCAGATGCCAATGACACCCCTGACTGGTGACCACAAAATTGTTCTGTTATATTGCCGTATGTCTCCTGGAAGATAAAATCATCCCTAGTAAAGAACCATGTAACCCATGTGAGATAAATCAAAAGCATTTCATGTTAAATGTAATATATGAAGTGGTTGAGAAATCCTTGTTTATTGAGAATTGGTATTTTCAGATCGGATTTTTAAAGTTACTACAACGATTATTTGGCTCCATGATACCAACATAGACAGGCATGTTTAGTCTGTTTTATTCCATCACTTCCAAGTGGTGGTACTTTGCCAATATGTGGAAGATAAAGTAGACTATCCCTTGAACCAGGCAAGAAAAAAATGAGATTCTAAAGGAATCCCTCTGGTCTAAATGAAAGGGGGATGAGGAGACTCTTTGCTGTATGTGCCCCACCTGGTCTCTTGTCCAGTTCTTTAATTCCAAGACACCATCCTTACTGAATTTTCTCAGAACCTTCTGTTGCTTCTGCTGCTGACTCTTCCTAGACCCTTGGTCTCTGTGGGCCAAGACAGCCATGAGATTTTGGGAAAGTTAGGTCTCTTGATGGGCCTCAAATTTCTCAGCTGTAAAGCAAGGATAATGAAATCACCTGGTGACTGATTCCACAGCAGGGGATCTTGTCTTACATGCTGTATAGAAGGGTTCTTTTTAAAAATGATAAAAGTTGATATAGCTGTGTTTCTGTTTCACAACTTCTCTCGTTGTCACTGATTTATTGTTTTCTCTTTACACCTCTCATTACCTATGCCCAGTAAGATTTCCCTGTGTAGTTAGAGGGAGTGCACATTTTAGCTCTTGGCTTTTAAGTTCTTGCTTCTGCTATTTGAGCCCATCCTGAGCCAGTCCCAGCTGTGTGCTTATGTTGTCAATTATCCTTGATTCCATCAGAGAACAGAAATAGATTAATATGCTTTCATATTTCTTATTGGGCTTTGGGATGCCTTTCTTTTCTTTACTTTCTTTTTATTTTTTGTTACTGGGAATTTAGGAATTGAATCCAGACCCCTGCACTGAGCTATACTCTCAACTCTTTTTTAAAAATTGTTTGAGACAAGGTTTTGTTGAATTGATAAGTTGCCCAGGCTGGACTCTTAATCCTCCTGCCTCAGGTTCCCAGAGTGCTGGGATCACAGACTTATGACACCATAATCTTTGGGGATATTATCCTTGATGAAGAACAAGACATAAGAAAAGCCTTTCTGATTAAGTTTGATATAAAAGGGAATTTATATTTCTAGAACTGAGGGCACAAAGTGACTTTCCTTAGAAAGACTGTTAATTTTTCCGTTTCCCTCCAGAAGCAGGGCAATGAAGTATTGTGTCACACAACAAAGACAGTCATTACGCTCAGACCTCAGGGTGGTGAAGCAAGACTGCTGGGTAACTTTGCTGAAGTTGCGGTCTTGTGGTTTTCTCCTTCATTGCATTCTTTGTGTATCAAGTAGGTGGAACTTGCAATGTGTTCTCAGGTCTGGTTATGTATGGGTGACCTAGCAGGGTAAGAAAGTTATAGTACATCATTGAGCTCTATCTTCGTCACTGATTTTGGATGGGGGTTTTGTTACCATCCCTTCTCGTTCTATCTTTCCAGCTGCCTGCTGGACATGTCCACCTGGATACACCCTGTCTGCTCAGTGATGCATCCAAACAGAAACATCCCCAGTCCTTCCACACACACCCCCAACCACCCTAGCCCCACCCTGCTGCTTCTCCTGTTTCTCCACTGTGGCCTATGTGATCAGTGTCAGTTCAGCCCTAGAAATGTAGGCGTCATCTCAGAGTCTTCACATATTCAGGCGGCTTCTAATTTTTGGTCCTCTGCAACAGATCTTTTTTCACCCATACTGAGGATTAAACCTAGACCCTGTATAAGCTAGGCAAGTGCTCTATTACTAAGTAATATTCTCTGCCGCTCTTTTTTAAAATTTTGAGGGTCACATCAAGTTCCCCAGGCTGGTGTTGAACTTGAGATCTTCCTGCCTCAGCCTTCTGAGCAACTGGGATTTCATGCACATACTACCATGCAGAGCTTTTCTATATAGATCTTAAAATCTGCATTGGTTGTCCATTCTCTGTTCTGCTCCCTTTATTATGCAGCTTCCTTCTTGACCTTTTTTCCTTTTTCTCTCTTTCATATCATCATCATCTGTAAGGATGAACTTTCTAAAAGACATGTATGGATTTTTTTTCTCATCTTCTAGAGTTATTTTAATACGTTCCTGCTACCTTGAACCACTGGTGGTCCATGTATGACTGCCTCTTTGGGCAGCATGGGACAGTCACACTGGGTGATACAAGCTGCCCAATGGGGCAGTCATGCACATGTCACATGTTCCGCTTGTGAATGTGTTAACACAAAATGGGAGACCTCAGGTTTGCTTTTCTGTGTACCATTAATTGGCTGGACTTTCTACATGTGCTTGCAGCTTAATCAAGCCCACTCTGATGATTCATGACTGGCATGCATCCACCAGGGCTGCATCCTCACTAAGGTAACTGGGATAAGAAAGTGCTGAAGCTAATGTCAGTTCACTTACTTTTGCATCTTTTTGTAGTACTGAGGATTGAAACCATTCATTGAGCTGCATTCCCACCCTTTTCTGTTCTTATTTTTGAGGCGAGGTCTCACTAAATTGCTGTGTTGTCCAGGGTGGGCTTGAACTTGCAGTTCTCCTGCCTCAGCAATCCAGAATTACAGGTGGGTACCACCAGGATTACAGGTGGGTACCACCAGGCCCAACCACATCTTTCTTTCATCACATTCCTTTGCCAGGTTGAGGCTGATTTCTAAAAATGAGAAAATAGGAGCTGTCAGACCTATGGTCCACTTGGCTCTCATGTTACAGTTTGAAAATGGTCACTGAGTACATTAAGAACTTATGCATTCACCTAGGTTGATTGTTTTTGCTATCTTTAGCCAGTTTTTGAACAGCATTACTATCCTCTCTATGCCTAGCAAACTTGTTTAATGGCTTGCTCTGTCTAACAAGCCAGCAGGGGAATCTGCCATGTCAGGTCCATGGAATAGTACGGTCTAAGGCCTAGTCATTCCACCTGCTGTAATGGCCCACATTTTCAAAAAGATCCAGTAAAGAGTACCAAGCGAAGAATTTACTTGCTAGAAGTATAAGAAACCATTTCTATCAAGAATCCATTGTTTTGTTTTATTGATTTTTTTGGTACCGGAGATTGAACTCAGGACCTTGAACTTGCGAGGCAGGCAAAGAATCCTTTGGAGAACATTGGTAAAGGATGTAAGGCAGGGCTAGGGATATAGCTATGTGGCATCACACCTATCTGATAACTGCAAGGTCCTGAGTTTGATACCCAAGTTCAGAAAAAAAAAAAAAAAAAGACTAATGGGTGACTAATTGAGGTTAAAGAAACCCATTAGAATTAGGTCATTCTTGGAGGAGGGAAGACATGAACATCCCTGTACTTGAAAGCCAGAGAGATATTTATCTAGATCTTTAGAAGGTTTTTAGTGAACCAACAGTACCAATCAGACCAGTATTTTCAAAATTTCCAGAGACTTTCTGTTTTAATTCAGTACTTCTTGTTATACTAAGTTAAAGGCATGTTAAGATTAAATGCATTGATCCTGGCCTATGTGATAAGTTGCCAATAGGATTTGGAGGAGAGTTGCACATCACAGAACTGGGGAGGTGCAATCCATAGGTATCACTGTCCCAGTGTGTTTACAGGAGCCAGGAGAGGTGAGCAGGCCATGTCAAGCATGGATCTCGACCAGGCTGCCAGCCAGCAAGTGGGCTGGGAAAATCAGATAAAGAGACAGCTCTGCCGATTCCTGTTTCTTCCAAGATCACCATGAAGCCTGGACTATGTATGGCCCCATCCCAGCACCAAGTTCCAGCCTGTGTTGTAAGGCTGGCTCAGTTTCCTTCAAAGAGGCAACCTCATTTTTTGGCTGTTGGTGTCAGGTTTTACCATAAAACTTCCTGAATGAAACAGTTATTTCCTTCTTTTGGATGAGAAGGAAACTGAAGATAGAGAAGTTACCTTCAAAAGATAAAAATTAAACCAATCAGTTCCTATTTTCTAATTGGAAATGTGTGGTCTCTGAGAGCTTTGGTAGTTGGGAAGAATTACAGATGAGTGATGGTTTCTTCTTTGGAATGGAATAGAGGCAGTTCATGGTCTCCTTAGGACCCAAACTTCTTGGATTCTCCCTTCTAAATTATGCAAGATGATCTACCAACAGATGAATGGATAAAGAAAATGTGGTATTTACACACAGTAGAATACTACTCTTCCATAAATACAAACTTGAATCATTTGTAAGAAAATGGATGCACCTTCAGACTATCGTGTAAATGAAATAAATTAGACACACAGGCTTAAATATTGCATGGTTTCTCTTGTATGAGAAACCTGAAGTATAAACAAAGAGTAAAATAAAAGATAGAGAATAGGAAGTAGGAAGATAGATTCTGAAATGGGAAGGAAATGAAGAAATGGAGGGAGGGCGGGGGGGAAGGGAAAGGGTCTGGAAAAGAATCAGTATGTGGCGGGTGCATGTACCAACTCCGCAAGTGAAGTGTAAACATGTATTGCAAACGTACTAATAAACAACAGGACGACCAGGACCAGGAGATGGGCAGAACGGAAAGGAGGGAAGGGAAAGGGGATGAAAAAGAATTGATGAATCAAATACATGTTCTAGCTTTCTGCAAGGAATGTAAACATGATGTGCTACAAACATAGGCTAATAAAGACAATAGGAAGAAGGAGTTATAAAGTCCCGCCTTGTTGTCTTTGTCTCCCCCACACAGTATACTTCCATAAATATGGAGCCACAAATCATTTAACTAATAAGGAAATTCTTTTATTGTGACAGATACTCTTCATGCTGCCTAGCTCTAATAAAATCAGAATGAAAACAAAAAGGCAAGATGAAACCAATCTTTCTAACAAGTAGCAAAGAAAGGCTACTATTTCTGCCTCTCTTGCCCACGGTGTTTGGAAAAACATTGCAAATGGTTTATAAATTGTAAACTTAAAAGCCAGTTCAGCCCCCAGTGTGTCGGACCACACATTGGCCGCCCTTCTATGACATCTGATGCAGAAGCTGATGTTGGTTACAGGAGGAGCAGTAGCTGGGAGAATGTGCCATTGAGGAAAAACTTCGCCTGCCCAATGCCCTGCTGCAGCAGCAGGCAAAGCATTACTGCACTGTTGCTAGGGTGCTCCAATACTGGCAGCCTGAGTGCTTTCTCAGTCTTGTTTTGTTTATTTCTCATGTTGCCTTCTGGCTGTGTGAGCCCATTTGTGTATTTTTCCATCTTCTTCCAGTATTCTTGACCCTGGGATTTTTCTCTGCTTTTCCCTGACTTCTAGAACAAGGGAACTGAGAGGTACAAGGCTCCCAAGTTAAGTGTTCAGTTCTCATATAGGAGCCAGCACTGTTACCTAGGGCTCAGGGTCAAGTATGAGTAGAGGAGCCCTGTCACTGGGGCTGGCCAAGCTGTTCCTATACTAGCCTTGCGCTTCCTTACTTGGTTGAGCAGAACAGAGATTGAATTGCTTACTTTTCCCTCAGAGTTTGGAACTATAATTTTCCCTTTAGCAGAAGCCATTTAGTGTTAGAGTAGGTGTATTCATAATAAAAAATAGATCAAAGTATGACAGTGGAGGGCCAGGGATTTAGCTCAGTGGTGCTGCGCCTGCCTGGCAAGCACAAAGTCTGAGTTACATCCCCAGTACCTAGAAAAAAAATGTCAATGGAATAAATCAGCTACAAAACCTAATCATATAATACATTGTGAATACATACAGAAGTAGCATCACTAGTGTGGAATTATCTATACCACTGCGACCTTCGTGAGTTGATGATTTTTTTTTTTAGTGCTGGGATTGAGCCCAGGACCTATCACATACCAAGTAAGTGTTCTAGCACTGAGCCACACCCCCAGCCCAAAATGAATAAATCTCATGCCAGACCCTACTCTGCTGGATCCCTGTGGAATGGCCATGTCAAAGGAAGCTCCTAGATCAGGAAGTAGGGAGAGTTTGTTCTCCAGCTTAAAAGTACATTCTAAATTAAGTTTTCTTTCTGGTGATGGTTGTTCCCCTAGAGCAGGGCTAAACACTTTACCCAGATCTGGTTTATTGGGCCCAAGAAGGCTTTGCTCATATTCAAGACTCAAATCTTGTGCTGTCTAGCCTGGACCCAGAGCTAATGCAGCTTTCTCCAGATGCCCCTAATGCTCAAATCCTCTTGAGAAAGATGGGCTCCTGGCCTCTGGGGAGACCAAGAACTAGGCCTCATTTGCAGTTATCCCAGAGACTGCTCTTCGTAGACCCAACTCCACATGTAGCAAACCACAGAAGCATCAAGAGTGCTCTTCCTGTTCCATTTCCCAGCTCATCAGCCCTGCTGCAGTTGTAGCCTAGCTCAGCATTTGAACCTAGGAATACCTGAGGGGTAGTATATTGAGCTGTCATGTAGCCACATATAATCATGGTCAGAATTAAATGTTCAGCCAATACAAGACCAACTGTAGGGGTCCTCCAGGAACCCAGGGATATGAGCCTCATCTTTAGAAGAGGACCATCAGTCCAAACTGGGAAAGAAAGATAACAGCAAAACTTAAATAGCTGAATGCAAACACAAAATAGGACAAATGATGGCATGAGCTTATCACAAAGGAAAAATGTTTCCAGAAGAGGATGAATTTAGAGCAATGCTTCTAAAAGTGTGGTACCACCGCACCCTGGTAACTTGCTAGAGAGGTACATTCTCAGGCCCCACTCCAGACCCTGAGTCATAAACAGCCCTTTACAAGATGCTGATAATGCATGTGAAGTTTGAAGACTGCTGGCTCTGGTGAGTGAAATAATATGAAAGCGTCCGTGCCAAATGTCACATGCCTGCCCTTAGTGATAGCAGCAGCTAGTGGCTCTTTTGATTATTTGTCGTCTACTATTACTGGCCTAAATCTTGCATGCCTTACCTTCTCTGCTTCTTATTATAGCAGGTTATAGACAGATGTAGTTCAGAAAAGGCCTGTTCTAATCACAGCCCTGCAGCCAACTCTGGCTCCAAGCCAGTCTTACAAATATGCCACGCCTGTTTCCTTCTCTCTCAAATGGGTAATAAGGCCTGACCTAGCTGTCTTGTAAGATTACTAAAGGATGATAGAATTCAACAAACAACATGTATTCTTACAAAAGTTAGAAATATTAAAAGGATAATCTACTTTGATATTGGGTCCCTTGAGGTGTGTATCCTTCAGAGCTGCTCACTGAGGCTGTCTGAGCTCTGTTTCTCCCCGGTTGCTATACTTCCTTACTTTTGAGAGCGGGGGAAAGTTATTGGATTGCTAGCTGGAGCAACATCCTGGAGAAGATTATATCAGGCTCTAATTTGCTACAGAATTTCACTGTACAAAACATATAAATCACCTAGCCATTACAACACACCTGTAGTCCTAGCAACTTGGGAGGCTGAGACAGGAGGATCACTTGAGCCCAGTTCAAGGCCAGCCAGGGAAACAATGAGCCCCCCTACCATCAACAACAATACAAGACGGAAGAGTCTTTGGAAAGGAGGGAGAAAGACTAATGTCTGGGATATGCTGTAAAGGGTCAGGGAAAAAGGAGTCCGAAAACAAAGCTGGAAGGGAGCTATTTGTGGGGGTCCTCCTGAAGGGTGGTACCTCTGGCTAGAGCACCCTCACTAGGCTCCTGTAGCCTGGATCTGATAGAAGAGTGTTATTCTCTTTCCAGAACTGTATTATGACCGTGGGAATCACCATGAGTTTGTGTCCCTGGTGAAGGACTTGGCTCGGCCGGGAGAGATCACCCAGTCTCAGGCCTTCGACTTTGAATTTACCCATGTGGAGAAGCCGTATGAGTCCTACACAGGGCAGAATGTAAAGCTACGGTAAGTTGTCCTGCCGCTTCTCCACTGTCCGAGAATCTGTCCTGTATGGGTGAGGACCTGAGGCTGTCCTTGCTCCTGAAGATCTCCTTAGTTCTTGGAGTTCTGTGGAGTGCTGGTAAATGTTTTAACATTCCTAGACAGAGCTTTCTGGGGCAGAGTCCCCTGGTTTGTAGCATGTGTGTGTTTCTGTTGTGTAAGTGTACTGTGGTCAGTTTCCAAATGCTAGTTGTGTGTTCCTGAATGCAGATGTGGGGCGATAGCATTACCATCACGTGTGGACTGGGTATGCATTGCCTCTTGAGCAAAGAGCATTACAGATTGTAGGACAGTCAGTAAGAAGCAATGAGTTAAAAGTGGGCATCGTGGTGCACACTTGTAATCCCAGCACTTGGGAGACAGAGGCGATCATGGATCGCCTTGAGTTTGAGGCCAGCCTGGGCTACATAGCCAGACCCTGTCTCAAAAATCCCAAACAAAAATAGCAGCATTGAGTTTTTAGTGTATGTTACCTTGATTTTAATACAATTCACTTAATTATAAGTTAATGTAACGTACTTAAATCATAGCTGTATCTAATAACTAGGTCATAAAATTCTTGAAACTTTGAGCATCAGCTTTGGTAACTGAGCTGGTCCCAGCACACTCTCCTATGAGTGTCAGGAGATACTGATCCCTCATCTAGTTCTACTATACAACAGCAATGTGACCTTGAGCCCCATAACAACATTCTCACTTGAAAAATGGGTAATGTATTTAGATTCTAATTTTAAATCTTCCTTCTCCATCTTTTGGGATTGATAAGAAAATAAAATGCAACGTGGTATAATGAAGTCTTTAAAGATTATGGCTATGCATTCCCTTGTTAATAGCAGTATAGTTTATCATTTCTAAATCTTGGAAACAGCCTGTATGCTCTTCCACAGATGAATGGATAAAGAAAATGTGGTACTTATATACAATGGAGTACTACTCTGCCACGATGAAGGATAAACTTGAGGCATTCATAGGTAAATGGATGCACCTTGTGACCATAATGTTAAGTAAAATAAATCAGAGAGACAAGCTTCAGTATCACATGGTTTCTATTATACAAGAACTCAAAATATATAGAGTAAAATAAAAGATAGATAATAGGCAATAGGGAATTCTTTTTCAAGTGGGAAAAACAAGAGATTGTGGGGGAGAAGAGGAAAGGGATTACAAAAAAGAATTGAAAGAAAAAAAGGCCCTGGTTGCATCCCCAGTATTACACAACACAGCACACACACACATACACACACACACACACACACACACACACACACACACACAAGAAAAAATAAGAAGGCCCCTAGATTTGGTACCTGGGAGGTCACATATTCCTTTTTCCTTTCAGAAAAGCAGTTCTGTTGGGTAGATGGTGGTTGGTAGTGGCTGTTGAAGAAGCTCCAGCTGTTGGTATAGTACCTGTCATGTGACAAAGGCAAGGGAATCTGTGGCAGGTCAAGGAGGTATGGCCTGTAGAAGATTTTGGAGTGAGTTTGAGACTTTTTTGTAAGCTCAGAGGAAGACAGTATTAGCTGTAAAGCGACTGAATATTTGGGGAAATTCTGAAAAGTAGAACAATCAATGTCCTACACCAAAATTAGAATCACCTGGGAAGTTTTAAAAAGCTTTATTAAGTCCCTCAGCAGAGCAATTAAATGTTTATATTCCTAGGCATCAGAATTTTTCAGTCCTCTTCTCCCCTTTTCCCAGTTGATTCTAATGTGTATTCAGGATGACAGTATTTGTGCCAGGTCTTGAGGAAGGAATGCTGTTGAAAAGGGTGGATTGATAAAGGTGGAGAGACGTGTTTAGACCGTAAGAAACAGCTCAGGGCCAGGAATTTAGCTCAGTGGCTCTGCCGCCTGCCTTGCAAGCACAAGGGCCTGAGTTCCATCCCTGGTACCAAAAAGAAAGAAAGAAAAAGAAAAGGAAAGAAACAGCTCAAAGCAAAAAAAGTGGCAGAAAATTATGAATCTTGAATTGGAAGGCCTTTATCTTCTTAGTAGAGTAAAAAGTAGTATCTTCTACAGACAGGAAAACAGCCACGGGACCTGAGCAATCAGAAAAAGGTTAGGGACAAATGTCTTGGTCAATGTGACAGACATTACTAAGGTAAATAAAAAGAATTGCCAAGGAGAAGTCCATGCCACAGAGTATAGTAACCTAAATGTGTAGTTGATGTGGCTAGCATATCTTTATAATTTCTCCACTAACACTTACCAGGCAGTAGGCATTATCTAACAATTTAGAAGAAAATATAAAGGGGTGATTTCTCTATCACTGAGCATTAGCATAGTGTTAGTAAAGTGACAGAAATGCTGGGGGAAGGCAGTGCTGAGGTGGCTGGCCATAGAGCTTGGGCTTGTTAAAGGTCTGTCTTTTTTCTATCCTGACCCCTCTCTCCAAGGCTGAGCCAGACACTTCTTTGTTTGCACATCCAGTTTCTGTTGCTTTACATGAAGACTTTCTCTTTTTGGAATACATTTTTTCTTTTGCCCACATCAGTGGATTGGGGTATCTCAATCAGCACTTCCATGTGTTCTAATTTTTGTTATTTGACCATCTCCCATTCCCATGACACTATATCTTATCCATGCTGTATCTGACCTCGTGCATAGCATAGTAGAATTTACTCGAGGAACAGCTTTTTTAATTTCTCCATTTCCTATCAGGGAACATTTTTCATTTTCCTCTTTTAACTGTGAGAGAGTTGAAAAATGTTCATCGATCACACATTGTTTGAATAGGCTCTTGTGTATTAGTTAGCTTTCCCATCACTGGAACAAAATACCCTACACCCAAAATGTAAGAGTCTATTTTGGCTCACGGTTTTCAGTGAGTTCAGTCCCTGGCACGCAGATTTCAAGGCAGAAATGGCACAGTGAAAGGGCATGGCAGAGAAAAGCTGCACACACCATGATAGCCAGAAAGCAATGAGTAAGGCAGAGTGGAGACAGGATTACACTCTTCTAGTCACACCTGCTGTGACCTGCCTCTTCTGCTCAAGCCCCACTTCCTAACAGCATATTCAGATATAGACTTACCAGGGGCTTAATCCACTGAGGAGTATAGTACCCCATAATTCAGTCGCCTTCCAAAAGCCCCACCTTTGACATGACATGAGTTTGGGGGGTGAAACTTTAGATCTAAGCCTAGCACCCTACACTCAAAAAGACAGAAGTTGAAGAAATGAAACCTTCATGTGCTTACATGGTTGGTAATTGCAAGGTCTAAGCACGGTATGTTTTTGGAATACATTGCAGAGAAATCACTTTTAGTGAAAGGGATTTGGGAAGAGGATTCAGTCTCCCATGAACTATAGTTGCAAAATTTTGTTTATATGTACGTGTGTGTGTGTGTTTTTTTTTCTGAGAAATGGGTTTGTAAGTCCTCAAAGGGATGCAAAGCACCAGAAGATTATGAATCACTGTCAGGGGCTCTCCGAAGTGGGTCAATTTGCTGCCTATATTGAGGAGGCTCTGGAGAAAAGGAGTATTCATTCCTGACAGCTGCATCTTCCACAGCTATTTTCTTCGGGCCACCATCAGCCGCCGCCTCAATGATGTTGTCAAGGAGATGGACATAGTGGTACACACACTGAGCACATACCCAGAGCTGAATTCATCCATCAAAATGGAGGTTGGGATTGAGGACTGCCTGCACATTGAGTTTGAGTACAATAAATCCAAGTAAGTGTCCCGGGCCCCGCAGTGGTGGTGTAGTTACTTAAGGAATTTAAGACAGAACCTGATCTGGATGCAGGAGTGATGGAAACCCATGGTTTCACTGTGCTCTGGGAGAAGACCACAGAATAATACAGCAAATATATGTGTTAGGGTAGTTTCAGTAAATGGAGCTGGAAATACTTAAACTACACTATAAATTAAAGATGTTACACTTAATTTAAATAAGCTGTTTAAATTAAACATCCTAACATGCCTTCTCAAAGCCAAGCTAAGTTAAATTTAAGATTGTTTTGGATTCTAGGTACAGCTATTTCCTTCTGTAAATAAGATCAATCATGGAACACAATTCTATTATCATCTGTTTCCTCCTTGTCTTTAGCAATCAAAGTGAGGAAACCAAACACTGGCAGTTGTTTGCTGCTTCCTCCCTGTACTAAAATGAATTGTGACAAAGAACACCTAATGCATTTTATAAAGATCTTAAAATAACTTTATTTTAATTGGCAAGTTGGTAAACTGTGTATATTTAAACTTTATTTACTCTTAGCACATGAAAATATTTAACTGCTTTTAAATCATAAAACTTTTTGGCATCTTGACAGTTTAAATGGATCTTTCTTTTGAATATAATACATTCCCAAAAAGGTTTAGAAATCAAATATCCACAAGGAAAAGTGATGTTCTAATCATAGAGAGCTTAAAAAAAAGTCACTAAGTCTCTAGTTACCATTCTCAATGTAGTACAGATACCTCACTTCCTCCCAGGTACATTGTCAGCCAAAGGCTGGGGTAGTAGAAGCTGAGTAGATGGTTTGCCCTTGAGCGAGTTGGAAACATATTTGAATCCTGGAATAGGGAGGAAATTAAGGTGTACTTCTCTTTCCCTTCCCTCTGGCCTGGCACCTAGTAGGTACCCTATAACATGACCAGTGCAACCTGGAACCAGCCTACTTGGCCCAGCCTTCTTAGAGCAGGAGGAGAGGTGCTGGAAAACCAGTTGATCTGGGCCTGGCATGGAACAAGCTTCTTCTCAGGCTTGGGGCTCTGTGTGTTCCTCCCCAGCAGTGCTCCAGTCACCTTGTGTAGGTGTAGCCATCAGCAGTACCACCTATAACAGCTCAAAATAGCCATTCAGTATATTTAAGACTGAGAGGAAATAAAAAGAATTAAGAAGTGTTATGTACATGTACCAACTCCCCATGATGAATATAATCATTATGTACAACAAACATATATACTAGTAAAAAAATGTTTAAAAAGTATATACAAGACCAAATTTAGTGTGTGAAGGGTGATTTAGAGAGTCAGTCACATGTAGTTAAGAAACAGATATTTCCCAACTGCTGCTTTCTGTTCATGACATAACTGCACTGTGTGAGAATACATGATTTTATATGTAGTAGAAAGGATCTAGGACTTCAGATCAGGCCCTATTCTGCCATTAGGAAGTTTGGCCAACGTTAGTAGGTACTAACATTTTTGCACCTCAGTTTCTTACTTGAAAAATAAGCATGAACCAGGTCAGTGGGTTTCAAACACATAGCAAAAGTGTGATATGAAGGAGCCGCCACAGGTTGTCTCTCACATAGGTGTACTTTTGTGTAAGATTTTGTTTAGAATAAAGAAATGTTTTACAAAAGTTTAGAAGACCTTAGAGTCTGGTCACTAAGTATCCCTGTGGAATGCTGCCAGCAGCCTCCTGCTGCACTCACAAGTGTACTAGGGGAAGGTACTGAGTGCCTGCACCTCCTGATTGCAAGCAGAAGGTCCTGTGAAATAGCAGGGATCACCCAGGCCTGGAAACAGGCACCCAAACTCACCTCTGTCTTTGCCCTGTACTCTCATCCTGGTCAAATGAGTGTTCTATTCCAACTTTCATTTTTTCACCTGTCCTGTAAGGACAGCATTCCCTGCTAGCATTCATGTCCTGTGAGTCTGAGATCCAGGTTTTAAGAGTTTGTCTTTCTGTCATGCCTGCTAGATTACCAGTACTACTGACTGACTCAAAGTGAAAAACTTGAAGGGTAAGAAATTGCTACTGCAACGTGATTAAAGTGCTAATAGCTCACAGACTACAAGCCATAAGAGCAGAGACCAGAGATCAGGCATTGAGGCAGAAGGGACTTGCTCATCTCTCATGAATATTCATGCCTGGTCTGCTTAGCCCAGGGCAAATAGTAGTGTTTGCTGTGAACCATCAAGGCTCAGCTCCCAAATGACGTTATATGGAGATCAGAGAGGAAAGGAGAGATCTGGTTCATGCATTTGTGGGATCAGCCTCCTATGCATTAGAAGAACACATTTTAAAAAACATACAGGGCTGGGGATTTAGCTCAGTGGGACCCAAGTTTGATCCCCAGTACCAAAAAAAACAAAAACAAACAAACAAAAAAAACATACAAAAGTACAGAAGGTATATGCTGAGGAGATAGAGCAGATGAACAATTATGAATAAGTCAAGCATCATGTAGAATGGACATCCTTTGAGATGAAGAGTAGAAGTCACTTAGATTTAGGTAAAGAATATGTTTGGAAGTCATTCCACCACAGTGGTGAGGATGAAAAATCAGGTGACTGTGCACTGTGGCAAAACCTTTAGTCAACGTGCAAGGCTGGGACACTGTCCTGCCCACTGAAACGAAACAGCCAGCTATTGCACCAATATCTTGCTTCTACTTTCTTTGCTTCAGATACCACTTGAAAGATGTCATTGTAGGGAAGATATACTTCCTGCTGGTGAGAATCAAAATCAAGCACATGGAGATAGATATCATCAAACGGGAAACGACAGGCACTGGCCCCAATGTTTACCACGAAAATGACACAATAGCCAAGTACGAGATCATGGATGGGGCGCCAGTGCGAGGTGAGCCTCCTGACACAGGGCCTTGGCCGCCACTCCTTTGCTCCCATGTTTGGTACAGAATTTGGAAGGGCTTGAGGGATGCGTTGAAGTAAGATGTCTTATTAACCTGTGATTTCTTAATCTAACTGTGCAACATGGGTATCAATAAGGAGGAAGAGAAAGGCTGAGTCTGTGCAATTTCAGGCTCCTACCCTCTCTTCCTCTAGAACAGCTCCATGTTGACCTGATTTGCAAACAGTTTGAATATTTTACTCCTTTTTCTACTTGACATTCTGACATTCTTTGCTGCTTGAGCCAAGAGTTTCATGCATGGTAGTTATTTTTCTTACTTAGTTTTACCTCTGATAAAATTTATTTTTCTTTTTATTGCATGGAGGTTTGCACCCGGCCTTCATGTATGATAGACAGGTGCTGTACCACTGAGCAGTGCTCCCAGAATCTAGCTCTGGTAAAATGATTCACTCTCTGACTCAGTCACTGAGTATCCAAGAGCACTACTAGAAAGGCTGGCCCACACTGCCAGGTACTGCAGAGGGACTGGGAACCCAATGGAAATAGTCCTTCCCCACCTCCACAGAGCTCAGTCTGTACTGAGTGAGTAGATGGGAAAGCACTTTGATACTTGGGTACCTATCTGATTATTGAGGAGTAGCATTTGTTTATATTCTTCATTGCTTCTAGCCATCAGGGATGAAGACTATCTCTTCTCACTTTGAAGTGTTTGGTGCTCCTGAGGTTGTATTCAGTGTATTCTCAGACTGTTCCATGTGGAAGGAGGAGTGTCACAAATTTAGTGTCCTGCACCACTGGGGACACCCTCAGATTCTTTGGTGTCACTGTGCCAGCCCCTGGAGGAATTAGGACTGAGTTCTCCTGATTCTCTCTGATGTTCAATTTTTTTTTTTACCATATTTGCCGGTAGAGTCAACTGACATTTTTCTTATCCAGATGAAATGGGGCACTGAGAAACAACACACAACACCAGATAATTAAAAGTTCTTTTATATTTAGCTTTTAGACTACATTGTGGGTTTGTCTGTTCTCTGTAGAATTACTGCCCTAATTTTATTCCTTTTGCACGAGGAAAGGTGCAGTGCTAAAGCTGGGAGGACCTAAAATAGGGGGATTCTGTAATTCTCCATATTAGAAAATTAAAGTCCAAAGAAAGCAACAGATTTACTCAGAAGTCATACAGCTGGTTAGTGGAGAATGGGCCAGAATGAGGATTTTCAGTTTTCCAGGCTGCCACACCAGGATATATTCTTGGGGCATACACTAACCAGGACAGAGGGAGGGGGCATCATAGTTGCTGGGTGGCATGGCAAAGGAGCTGGGGTCTAATGGGGTCTAATAACTGCTTCTTAGAAATCCATGAACTACCAGGACAGAGGGAGGGGGCATCATAGTTGCTGGGTGGCATGGCAAAGGAGCTGGGGTCTAATAACTGCTTCTTAGAAATCCATGAATTAGAAACATTACGTGTAATCAAAATATGTTGAATAATTTCCCCACTCCATTTATACTCACCTGTTCTTTACTACTTCCTGCATGGGGATGGTGAAAGAACATTCAAGAACCATAGAAGACTGGAATGGAACTGGGAGTCACATTTTTGCCCTGGGCAGCAGAATGCAACTTCCCCAACAACACAAGCATTTGGTTACTGTCCTGTGTCATGCTCAGTGGGCATCTCACCTGCTGTCATCAGAGAGGGACTTGGTAGGAGGAACGGTGGTTCACTTTGTCCCTTGCCCTGATCTCGCTTCACTTTCCCTCTTACAGGAGAATCTATCCCGATCCGGCTCTTCCTGGCAGGGTACGAGCTCACACCCACAATGCGGGACATAAACAAGAAGTTCTCTGTGCGCTATTACCTCAACCTGGTGCTGATTGATGAGGAGGAGCGGCGCTACTTCAAGCAGCAGGTTCGGTGCCTCCTCGGGGCCCTTTGATGTCCTCAGGACAGAACAGAAAGGCCATCATTCCTATTCAGGGTCAGGCTTTATTTTTGATAGAAAAACAGGATGGTATAAGGGAGAGAGCTGCTAAGTCTCTGTACCACTTATTATTTTATGAAGAGGTGGTGACATTAGGTTACCTAGAAGCCCATAGCAGAATTGAGTTTCCACTTAATACAGACACAGGAGGTATGGACATCCACTGCTTCAGTTTGAGATAAGCAGAGGAGGTTCTTGCACAAGACTCTCCAGGACAGAAGTGGAAGCCTCTGGAGAAATCTCTGAGTCTCCCTCTCAGGTGTTGCATTGCCCCCTCTCCTAATTCTGCAGGAAGTGGTGTTATGGCGGAAGGGCGACATTGTACGGAAGAGCATGTCCCACCAGGCAGCCATTGCCTCTCAGCGCTTCGAGGGCACAGCATCCCTGGGTGAGGTGCGGACCCCCAGCCAACTGTGTGACAACAACAGCAGGCAGTAGGCTGCTAGGCCAAGAAGCTGCGGGACTTCCCCCCAGTACCCCCATCTACCAAACACCAGCGGCTGAGGGAGGGGAAGGATGGTGTGAGGCTCAGCTGACCATTATTTGCAACCTGAAAACAAATCATGTTTTTGACTTAAATTCTTTTCTCTGAAGAACTGAAGGGGATTGGGTTGGGAAACGGTCTCCTTGGGATTCTGCGGCTGCAAGGATAGCGAGAGAGAGAGAAAGCATCATCGTGGAAGCTAGTCTTTCTCTGAAGAATAAGAGCCCTCCTCCTGAGCTGCTTTTTGTGTCTCAAAGGAGATCCAGGAGCATGCAGCCTCGGCTTCTGGCTCCGAGTTTCCTGATGTAGGATCTGAGCAGGTCCCTGGGATTTAGAGCGGCCAGCAGGGCCCTGGGTCACATCTCATACTCCCTTTGACCATCCCTGAGGTAGTCCCAAGAGGAGAGGGCCTGCCCTGTCCTAAATGAGGTGGGGGGACCTCAAGATCAGGAAGCTACCTCTCAGGGAGTCCTGAATGTGGTGCTCTAGAGTCTCCACAGTCATCTTCACTCTGGCCTGTCACTGCTGGGACCCAGGTGCCTGCCTTCCCCACCTGCTCTGGCTTGCCATGAACATCCCAGGACAGAAGCTGATGGAACAGCCTGGGGCTGACTGGCTCCTCATCCACAAGAGATACCAGGGTCCAGAAAGCCCTGGGGTCAGTGTCATGCATGGATGGCCAGGAGGCTGAGCCACTAAGGAAGGACTCAAGCATGGCAACTGTCTCCCTTTGAGTGTGACTCTACTTGGCAGTCTAAGGTCTGAGTCCTTCTAGGGTATTACTGTAAGTAACCCAGCAAGCTCCAAGTAAGAGCTTTTGTTCCCTTTAAGATGTCCTAGGAAGGGGCCAGAATTCTTTTCTTCCCAGACCGTACCCTTCTTCACTGCTTATCTCTCCTTTAATTTCTGGGAGTTGGGGTTTCGTTTTAAGCACTTGTAAATTTTGTTCCTACTCCTACTTTAAAACTGTTCACCTCTATACCTGTAAGTTAAAGGAGGGAGATGGGAACCCCAGCAGAAGATTTGATTACCACAATTTCTAGATAATTTTGCTTGCCAAATTACATCTTCATTTTTAGCAGTTCACTCACCCAAGTTTAGGACCATTGATTTTTTTGTTTGTTAATTGTTTAAAAACATATGAAAACTTGTGGATGTTTCAGTACACTAGAGGGCACTTTTCCCTTGTTGCTCTGTGCTTGGGCCTATACTGTAGTAGTATTTACTGTCTTTTCTGCCTCATCTTGGAGGAATTACTATTGATCTCCCTTCCCTTTATAAAAAGCCCAATCAGACCCACTTGCCAGTAAGTACATTATCTGGTTCTTTCGAGTTTTGGGTAATTTGGACAGTAGAAGCATTGGTTCCTGTCTCCTGTTTCAGTTAGTGTAGAAAATGGGGACTCTTCATCAGAAATCAGGGCAAGCTTGGGTCTGCCTAGGCCAGCTCCTGGATCAGAGTGAGACTGGAGGGAAAGACACTGGAGGATGTGTGTGTTTGATTAGGAGCATCAGAACCAAAGTAAATTTGTTCCCCCAAGCCAGAACTGGAGTTGAAGTGCGACACACAATCCCAGTGGAGCAGGGTCAGCCACCCGACTGCCCTTGGATTACCAAGGCTGGGGCTTACACATCCAAGAAAGGCAGGTTCTGTGTCCTTGCTTTTTCATAGCAAGAGAATAGACTCTGGTGTGCCTCCTTTTAATAGGCAGTATTCTAACTAGGAAGCATTTGTCAATTGTCTGCCTCCCAACTGACAACAGAAACTCATTTCCCAACTTTCCTAACATCTTAACTTTTCTTCTGGGAGAACTAGAAAGTAGAATTTGCTTTGATTATCTCAGGAGCTATGAACAAGTCAGGTCTTGTTTTCTGACTATCCCTGTTCTTTCTTCTCTGTCAACTGTGAAAGTGAGGGGGGAGGGTCCTGCCCCCCTCCTTTAAGGTCCCCAGACCTAGGAGCGCATTAGGTACTAAACCAAACAGTGCAACTTGTAAGTAAGCAGCTGCAGTGTTTACATGTTTCTTAATGTGTTGTCTTTTCAATGGCTGTATTTTAAAAGAACACTTGTTTTAATGGTCTAATTAAAGGATGCCCTGTGGCTTTGGAGGCATCGTGCTCATGGTCCACCTGTGGTCTTTTCTGTCTTAACACTGTTCCACCTCTGCCACTGAGGACAAGGCAGACACTCACAGTGACTCCAACACAGTACCTGCGCTGAGTAGACAGCCCCCAGTGAACAATGACAAACACTTTATTAACCACCTGTTGTAGACAAGTGCATGGCTGAGAAGTAAATTCAGGTTTTACCTCTGTCTATCAACTTGTTTTGAAACCACTCATTGCTTAAACTGAACTCTGTGGGGCCCAGAGGACTTAAGGGGCAGGTGAGAAAGGCTGGTATAGAAAGACCAAAAGTTAGTTTCAGTGATTGTTATAACTACTAGCAATTGTAAAGTGCCCTGCATCTTCCAACCAAGCAGCAGAAGAAGCCAGTCTGAAGGTAAGAGATCTACAGTGGCATATTCACCACACCCAGTGTACTTAAAAATAAAACACTTTCCAGGCCTGGGATTTAGCTCAGTCGTTTTGTTGCCTGCTTTGTAAGCAAGCATAAGGTCCTGAGTTTAATCCTCAGTACCAAAAAAAAAAAAAAAAACCTTTCCAACTTTTAATATTAAATCTTTTATTGAAAGAGGTACAGAAAACCACCTACGTACATAGTCCTGAGTGACATTATAAGCAAGCCTTCTCATGCTTTCTTGTCTTACAAAAGCTTGTCTTCATTTTAGCAATAGTGCCTCAGTTAATCTGGTTCCTTTTCTTCCAGGCTCAAAATAAAATCAAACTCTTCTACCAAAAAGGGAAAAAGGAACAATTAGGTCTTATGTGTCCTTTTGCACAGGAGGAGTTAATGCCAAGCACTGGTACTGTACATGTTACAAAAGCAGAAGTTACTAATTCATACACTGAGGGTATCTTACTAAGTGCTAAGCACTCCTAGGCACTGGGCCTATAATAATAGGCAACTCAGTATAGCCACCCCCCTCTTGTGTATGACAGGTGAGGAAATTTTACTCTCAGGTTTAATGCCATGCCCTTATTAATCAGGTAATAAGTATGAATTCATGGGATCCTTTATGGTGTGTGCATGATGAGGGAAAGGGCCCATTCTTACCTTGGGTAAGAGACTGAACTGAGAGTCTCTGGCGAGTGAAGAGAGCCATGTTTTTCAAGGGACCACCAGTAGCTTTGTGAGCTTGGTGATATGTTTTAAGCTCAGCTAGGGAGATGAAACGCTTCATTATCCGAACAAATTGTACATCCACCTGTGTGACAACAGAGTATGGAACAGAAAGATGTATCCAGAGCTGGGCATTGTGGTGTCTGCCTGTAATCCCAACACTCGGGAGGCTGAGGCAGGAGGATCGCTGTGAGTTCGAGACCAGCCTGGGCTACATAGTGAGTTCCAGATCAGTCTCAACTACATAGTGAGACCCTGTCTCAAAAAACCAAAACAGAAAAGAAAGATGTATTCAGCCAGTCTCTGCCCACTTGTTTTTTTGTTTAGTAAGAGATGGGTCCACTATGCTGTCCTCCTGCTTTTTCTTCCAAAGTAGCCAGGACTACAGGCATGGACCATCATGACTGGCTGCTGTGTTTTATGGATGGCAGGAGGCTACCATGACAGAGCTGCCAATATTCTATTCTAATCTCCAACACTTCATCAGACTAAGAGCTGTGTTGTGTTCCTTGACCTAACATCACCCCATACCCATTTTTATTTGTACATTTAACCCCTCTTTTGAAATAGGAAGAATAGGCAATTTTTACCATGAACCATTTGGGGTTGTCCTCTTTGCTGGATGGGTCATAATGAGGATTGTTTTTCTCAAACTGTGTGTGGTCTGGGTAAGCCTCCTTTACAATCTGAAATCAAACCAAAAATCTCCATTCATTTGCCTGCACAGTCAGCCCTATCCTCAGCTCTGAACAGTTATGTTTACCAATCAGATATTTGTCATCTCTGTGGTCCGTGCATAACATATCTGGCTTCTCACCCTGCATACTCTTTTTTTTTCCCCCCTGCAGTACCCGGGATCAAACTCAGGACCTTGCACGTGCGAGGCAGGTGCAGTGCCACTGAGCTAAATTCTTGGCCCCACCCTGCATACTCCTAATCTCACTGTCCTTGCTATAGAGCCATACTTGGCTCAGATATTTGGAAATACACAGCCTAAAGTAAGCATAGTTAGGAAATCAATCTTGTTTTTATAAACATGTTCTAAAACTAAATACTAAATTTGTTATTATTGGCACTGTATAATAAGTAATTTTATCCCAGCAGCTTTTGACTTGAAGGAACTACCATCAGGCCTGTTTTTCAATGAGACTAAGGCTTAAAAATGAAGAAAAGTATGTAGTGGGTGGTGTGAAGTGACAGGCTGCCTTATCTAGTTCTTATCATATAGGAAGGGGCCAGGGCGGTTTTTCATCTATTCTGTGATGGGGGTGTGGGAAGAGGGTATTTCTGCTTTGTTACCTATTTAAGGTACATTCTTTTAAATTTACATGAATAAGCCCTCCTGGAAGGAGAGGGATTCAGACCAAAACCTGTCCGCCTAACCTTCATAAGTCCCACGATGCCTGGCTCCTTGCAGTTGCTATGGTAGAAGAAGGCTTCATCCTCCAGCTTCATGGCTCTAAGGAAGTTCCGAGCCTATCTCAGGGGAAACAACAGAAACCTCAAGTCAAAAGAAAGTCTGTCTCCTTTGCTGAGACTCTCAGACATACACCAGTGCACTGGCCAGAACCAGGCCACTTGCAGATTTCATGCTGTCAGAGTAATTAAGGTATTTTTGAAAACATTTTCAGGTTAGGGTTCTGGAAAAAGCAATCTCAGCCAAGAGGTTCTGCTACTGAGTAAGCCAGGAGGGAGAGTGGGGCATTTAGCTTACCCTAGGCCTCATGGGCCCTGCACTCATCCTGTTACCTGGTAGTTTCGAACACCATCCCAGCATGCTATCTGCTCAGGCTGTGCTTTGAGATCCTCAATGCTGAACTAGGCAAGAAAAAATAGTTATTCACTTCACAATCTGTGGCCAGTCAGTAAGCATACATGGAAGCAGACAGGCACCTCCTCAAACCTGAGGTGCTGTAGGCTATACTGGAAATCTGTAGTTTATGATAAGTATTCCATGTAGACACGTTATATGAAAATAAGCCTTGTTATCTTTACTAAAAGCATTACTTGAATTGATAATTCATATGATAAAGTAATATGCTGGTTTCCTGCATTTCTTAAAGTATTAAATACCTCTATAATGTTTCTACTTATATCTTCTCCAAGTTATTAAAATTGGTATACATTCATTGCCTGAATATAAACACAACTGTTGGCAGGGTGATATCTAGAAGCATGGCAGATAATAAAAGCAAGCTAAGATTGAGGTTGGCAAATTATAGCCAAAAGGCCAAATCTAGCCCTTTGCCTAATTTTGTCATACAGTTTTACTTGAACACAACCATACCTTTTTTTATGGACACTTTCTTACTACACAAGCAGAACTGCAACAGACTGAGACCCAAAAGCCTACAGTATTATTTCATTCTGTCCCTTTGAAAAAAAGTTTGCCACCCTATGCTAAAATGTAGAAGCCACAAAACAGATACAAGTTAAACATGTCAATTTGAAAATCTGAAACCTGAAATGCTCTGAAATGTACCCACATTCAAAAAACTTTGGATTTGTATTTCAGGTTTTTGGATTAGGGATGCTCAACCTATAAGGTCTAGGCAAATATTCCACAATTTGAAGGTCTGAAGCATTTCAGATCAGGGACATTCAGCCTACAGTTGGTCATAAATCCAGCTGATTTTATTCATTTTTAACTTTTTCCTATCTTTCAAAAGAGAAAAGCTGGTCGTAGAATCCTATGGTTACATTTCAGTTTTTAAAAATAACATGAAAGGACTGGAGACAGGCACAGTCTCACCTTCACATCTACACCTTTCTCTATTCGGCTTTCTGGTTCTGACTTCATCAACCAGTAGTTGCTTAGATTCTTCCCATACTTTTTTGAGTCTGAAGTCGTTTGTGGACTGGAGTTCTCCACTTGAGCTGATGTTTCATCTGAGTTCTCAGTTTTGGTGCGTTTTCCTGATAGCCCTTTCTTGTCTGCAAAAGGAAAAGGAAAAGACCTATCATTTGCTAGAGGTAATACTTCATTATAGAGAAGCTTACCCTTTGGCATCATACCTGTATTCAAATCCTGGATCTTATAAGTACTAACTACAGCACCTTAATCTTACACATAGGAAATTTAAGATTGTCTATAAAAACTGGACCAGGATACCTTCCTTACAGGCTATCTTGTAAGTAAACTAGTTAGTAAGATAACAATATTTTGTGAGTTAAGTATAAAGCACCTTAGAAGTGTTTCCTTCCCTCATTTTTCTTCTTTGCCTTTACTCAGGCTATTTTTTCCACTGAGGAAATAAGTACTTTAGAGTTGTTTTGGTGATGAGATGAGAATACAAACAAAAGGCTTAGAAAATGCCTGGCATTGTAATAAATGGGCAGTTAAACATTAGATATTATCATCATCTTAAGACTTCTTTCCCTCTTGTTCACTGCACTTCATGCCGGCCTCCTTTCTGCTTCCTGAAGATGCCAAGAGAAGCTGGAAAAATTAGTTCATCCAGGCCCTTGTAGACATAATAAAAACTGGAATTTATCCTAAGAGAATTAGAGAAAAATGTACCTGGAACAAAATGGGCACTTAATAGCTAATGGCTGTTAAGTTCATGGTATGTGACAGGCTCCAACCTGTGTTATACTAACCTAACTTGGTTAATTTTTTTTTAAATGTTGTATTGTTCAGCTGGAAAATGTGTTCCATATCACAATCCAGTAATGGTAGAATCAAGGTAAAAGGTCAAGACCTGTTACTTGTGTCTGTCTGAAACACTTAACCATACTCAAGACTGCCTCTGAAATTAAGTTTCTTCATCAGTTGTCATTAAATACCCCTTATGGATGTCTAATGCTCTGAACTCAGCATACTGTCCTTGCTTTTTTTTTCCCCATCAGTGTCTTAAGAGTTAATAGGCATACTACAAACATATGTGTTATTATAACTACAATGTGTTGTAGTCCATCTGGAGACCATTCCTAAAAGACGTACTTGATTTACCTTCCCATTTTTTTATTCCTGCTCTTCATCCACTTAAAATGCCATTCACTTTGTCAAAAAGACTTCACATTTTCTGAGTACTACAAGCTAGACCATGGAAAGCTTTCCCAGTCAAGACAGCTCAAATCCCATTTCCTTCTCCTTGCCTTCCCTGTGATTCCTCCCTCCTCTGGTACCTCCAACTACTCAGTCTCCAGGATTCTTTCTCTTAAACCTGTTTGCAAATTATCTTAGAGAAGGAATGCTTTATTTTTTCACCTTCCAGTTAATTATTCTTTTAACAAATTATTTCACTAATAAATAAAAATTATACTAATGGGCTATCATGTGATGTTGGATATGTATTTACTGTGTAATGTTTAAATTACTGTAAACCTACCTTCGGGTATCCATTCTAAATGCTAAAACATTCAAAATCTTCTTTTTGAAATATACTGTAGTTTCTTTATAGCCATCCTCCTCTGCAGTAACACATCAAAACTTCTTGTTTCTAACTTCCTATGCACTGATCACCTTTCCCCATCCATTCCTGTCCCCTGAACCCCTTGGCCTCTGATAACCATCATTGTACTCAACTTTTGTTAAATCAACTGTTTAGACTCCACGGCATGAGTGAGATCATGAGACACTTGTCGTTTTTCTGCCTGGCTTACTAACAATCTCCAGTTCCATCCACGTAGCAAAGGAACTACAGTACTATATATTCTTAACATCACTACGTGTCACTCACCCTGTAGTGCAAACGTCCTTATTGCTTAATAGCTCTTGCTGTAATAACAAGCGGTAGAGAACAGAACCTTAGTGGAAAATGGAAAGAAGGTGAAGGGTATGAGGGTGCTAACATCCATTACAAGTGAACTCCAAAGGCTTTCACCACGAGAAGGGAGAAAATATAAACAATACTAAACAGGCCCTGGGTGCAGCTCACCTGGACCAGCAGCCCCAGCCAGCCGCTTCCCGGGTCTCGGCATGGTCCGTCTGCAGTGCGTGAGGTGAGGAGGATTCTGGAATCGATCAGGAGATGCAAGTACCTCCACGACTCTCCAAAACCTTCGCGGAGCAAGCTGGAGGGCAGCGAGGAAGGCCAGAGGGGTTCAGCCTTGGAAGAAAAAACAGAGCTTAACCAAACCTCTCAAGTCCTTCCTCCCACGACCTGCGTCATTCCTTTTCTCCCTTTACGTTCTCTCTGTGGTTCACTCCCCCACTTTTCGAACCTAGTTGCGGTGCTCGGAGCACAAGCCCGGGGGCCCGCGGAAGACTTGTCTGCGGCGCCGCGCGGCGATCTCTGGGAGTTGTAGTCCCCGCGCCCCTCCGCCGCTAGCGCCCAGACCGGGGACCTTGGGGAGAACGGGCTCCCAGAGTGCCTTGGGACTGGTCGCTCTCTAAGTGCCGCGGGCGGGTCGCGTGGCGCTGGCCTTGCCAGTACTGAGGACCTGCGGGCTGGGCTGTACAGAACTGCGGCGATGTGGTGCGGCAACGGGCGCCTCGGGGTGCGTTTCGGCTGCCTGTGCAGCAGTGTCTGGG